TGGGGTCGGGGTTGTGTGGGGAGCTGTCCGCGGTGCTGAACGGCTCCCGGCGGGCGTATTTCTGCCTTGATGGTGCGCCGTGACCAGCTCTGGGTCAGCTGGGAAAGGCTTGAGGCGAAGCAGGCTCACGGCTTATGTGTTTGCCACTTTCTTTTTCATTTTAACCCACACCATGATCTTTTCCTGACCCTAACCAAGTGGTTTTTGTGCCTAAACCTAACCAGACCTTAACCACAGGGCATCATGATGATTTCGGAACAACGGGACTTCTGAACAATGGGTTGAATATGGTCGGAACAATGGGATGTCGGACCAATGGGCTGTCGGACCAATGGTCAGTTCCCGAGCAACCTGTCCAGGGTGTACCCCGCCTCTCGCCCAATGTCTGCTGGGATAGGCTCCAGCCTCCAGTGACCCCTAACAGGATAAGCAGTTACAGTAAATGAATGAATAAAAAAACTCATATAATTATAGGTTAAGCCACCCAGCAGTATAGAATAATTAGAATTGGCCCCACCATTACCAGCTGCAACATTAAAATAATCTACATACAAGTGCATCAATAATTATAGTTCACCAATATAATTTATGATTCTTAAGTGTGCCAGTCTGCAAATACTTTTGCTTTTTTTTGTACTTTGGTAATGTATTTTAATGCTAATACTTTTGTATTTTTACTTAAATAATAATTTAAAACAGAACTTTTATTTGTAACAGAATATTTTACAGCGTAGTATTGCTACTTTTACTCAAGTTTAAGATCTGAATACTTCTTTGACCACTGGATAACGCGATGGTGAACATGGCAAACATACTTCCTAAAAATCACTATGTTAGCATTGTCATTGTGAGTGTATTAGCACGCTGATGATAGCGTTTATCTCAAAGCACCACTGTGCCACAGTACAGCCTCACAGAGCTGCTGGCGAGGCTGCAGACTCTTAGTCTTGTTTTTAATTTCCTCCAGTATTATGTTGAGGAAACGTACTTAAATTCTCATGTCATGGGAAAACTCATATTGAATGCTGATAGTGAGGGGGTTTTGTTTTCTCTCAAGCAGCGACAATGAATAAGTTGAATCACAAAATGAATGTGAAAATTGAAATGTGTGTGTGAGAAGGAAGAGACGGGATGTGGATGGAGTGCAGAGCAGGGGAGTGAGATAGCAAGTGAGACACAATGCACGGCTATGTTATGATGTTGCTTGATGGTATTACATTTTTCCAGGTCAATTTAACTCAACCAGGGTGTGAACTACAGGAGAGTAAGGGGGAGCTTGGCTCGGGCTTGAAACGAGCTCCCATGAAAACTGTGAAAGTTTTGGGTGGTCTCTAAGATATTGACAGTGTGCTATTTTTGCCATGCATTACTTTTCCTTTTTTTCTCTGTATCATCATCATCATATATCATGCGTAACACTGGGCTTTTTTTGGTGTATGATTCATGCATGTGGATGCATTCATCACTAATTCACTTTAATACAAATAATGGCATGCGTGCTGTTCTTTGTTTAACTGCAGTAATTGGGACTTCCGTGGAGTGAATTTCATGCCTCCTTTCAGATAGTTAACTCACAAACACAATACAAGGGAGAAAAAAAAAGTCAAACAAGAATAAAAATATGCAAATAATAAAATAAAAAATAATAGTAATAATACTGAAAAATGAATGAATTAAATAAATAAAAAAACAACCCCTTGGAGCATACAGATCAAATAACTTAACCACTGTGTAATTAAAGCACCCCCACCATGCTATTCTTGCCTTCACCAATTAAGTGTGGCAGCATAATATCATAAACTTCACTGACTTTAACTTAAAGATTCGAAAAACCCCTCAAACGGTCTTACTGTCCCACTCAGTCTGCGCATCAGTCACCATTATTCATTTATTTTTATTGTAGTCAGCATACAGATATGCCAAAAAGGAAGCAAGGAAGCATAAAGATTTAATGCTCATACATTTGTGTATTTATACAATAGGCTGTTTTAGTGTTTGATCTGTCCGTGTCATATTTGTGCCAATAAACGATAGTTCAGTCTGTACCATTTTAGTCAAAGAAAACTTTATTTCTGTTTGCAGTATTATATTTGGCTCTGTTCTGGGGCCTCTCTGCCTTTCCTCAGGCCTGCGCAGAAAGCCTCTTCCACACACCTATGTGGAAAGCCTAAGACAGAAAGAGCACACTTCTCTGCCCTTCCACTCACAAACGCAACAAGCCTTAGGCAGAGAGAGCACACCTCCCTGTCCTTCCATGCGTCTACATGGAAAGCCTAAGGCAGGGAGAGCAGCAGTAAAGATCCCCAGGGAACAGAACAGAGCAGCATCATTGATAATCAGAAGTGACATTGACTGGTCAGACACAACATGAAAAGGAGGAGCTGGGATAGAGGAGCTTGCAAAACAGCTTGCAGAGGAAACAGCAACAGTAGGCAGGCCAGGGCAGTTTCAATAGGGCGCCCTGAATGATATTTGCCAATTGGTTGCATAGAAAGGAATCATGTGATCTATCAGCTGACTCCCTTCCATCCGTCAGCTGCTCCATCAGTTGATTGGGTTGCCTGAGATCAGCTGGGATGTGAGCTGAGCTTGACATCGTGTCCCACCTGAACCAACGCTATGCTCAATTTTATTGGCACAAATAAGAGTATGCAGAGTATACTGTGCCCTGTTTTAGTTGATCGCATTGTTTCATATTGTGATATTTGGTTTTGATACCCCTGTAGAGGTTTGAAGTGGTCATTGACTGATGACTATGTACTGACGCAATTTGCCCTACACGCTTGCAGTTATGAATGTTTCTATGCATCAAGAGTCACAGTCAGTGCCCACCTCACCCCCTAAAATAATGTGAACTCCCTCAAAAACCATGCTATCATCTGCACACTGAACTCAACTAAAAATCCCCAAACTACAGTCCCTTCAGTCGAGCCGTGTCCTCTCTTCTTCCTCAGCAGCATGTGTGAATCTTGATTTTAGATGACTCATCTATTGACATGCTTCAATAGAATCACTTCAGTCGAGCTCTCTGCATGCACGATCGACCAAGGGTGCTGAGAAAGCTGCTGGTGACTTGGAACACTGCATCATTTGAAAATTATAGAGTATAATTCAAGACTCAACATTAACTTTCCAAAGAGTGGGGGATTTGTCTTAGGCTTTTCGTCCATGCTGCAGCTTTAATAGAAAACATTCCACATACAAAAAAACATACATTCAAAGGTGTTAATAAATAACAATAATGACTGCAATGTATCAGCTTCCTTTTTGTAATGTGCTGCATATTTAACACAGTGCACTCCATTAAGGTGCTTGCCACAAAAGCCTCATTATTTATTAGGAATGTATTCTCAACTTCATTCTTCAAAGTGTGTTTGTGTGTAGGTGTGTATATATACATGTATGTGCCGTACAGTAAACGCACACAGTGACTGGGAGATAGAAAGCATGTGAGAGACAACATCAGAAGAGCTAGCTGGCATTTCAAAGGTATGTGCTGTTCCCCCGGGGAAAGGAGGAGACAGCTAATTACTACTGAGATTTCCCATTCTCAATCTCTTATTAGTCATTTCCTCATTACTGGCAGACATTAGGCAGCCAGCCACTGAGAGTAAAACAAATGAATCCTCTGTCTTTCCTGTTTTTACAGTGCCTCCAGCTAGACCTTCCAGCAATACCAGTGTTAGGAAAGCCCAGCTGTGTTTAAAGGCATTAAAGGTAATCTGATAATATGGAAGCAATGAGCTGATTCCACTGAACAACAGCACCTTGTCCCAGGGTGCAAGCCTGCTGTTGATTTCATTGCCAGTGAATGTTAAGTGGTGGTGAGCGTTCTTTAATTGTGGACATAAATCAGTTGGCCAGGCACAAAAGGGGTTATAGGAGAGTGAAAGAGAGGAAGTGTCTACGCCGAGCACAGAGCTCACCTGAGGCTCACAGCCCCTGCTGGACATACAGTGGCCTTGCGAAGGACATCAGCCATCGCAATCAAAGCCTCATCTTTTTCATAATAATAATGTGCGTATGGCCTCCTCCCAGAGCCCTCACCACATCCTGCATCTTTGTCCCTGAGTCTGACAAAAATGAAGGTCTACGTCTCCCCACAAGTAGGTGTCACCATGGAAACAACCGTAATTCAGTGCTCTCAACAATAGCCGTTAAATGAAAGGAGCTGTCTGTTGGAATTAAAGAGTAGGCTCAGTCCCTCTTCCCGTGGAATAAGTACTCACAGCGTCTGCAGCAAAACCACACAGGGCAAATGTGTACGTGATACTGTAACCTACATTTCATCAAACACATCAGAATGGTTCTCTCGTTTCTACTCATCCCTCCTGTGCAGCGGTGAGCTGTGACAAAATGTGACATGAGTGAGTGCAATCAGAGCAAACTGGATGACAAAAGCAGAAAGGTGTAAAGTGTCATTTTTGATTTGAAAAAAAAAATCTTTTACTATGATAACAAATCACAGAGACAGATTCAGTTAAATGATGAGATTTATTTACCTAACTGCAAGACAGAGAGCGTAAACTACAAGAACAGAGGTTTGTGCAAATGCAGGCTTGCATATTAGCATATCATAAGACCCAAAGGAAAGACTGCACAGCACAGCTTAACAATAAAAGTAAGCATGCAATAAATCCCTTTTCTTCCTTTAGAAGAAATCAAATATCTACTAATGATGCACGGGTTGCTTCTCACCCACACAGCCTGCAGTTACACCAGTTGCATATTAGGGTTATGGGCTGTAAACCTTGTGCTGATTAGCAGTGGATGGGTGAAAGGGAGCGATAGAATGCGTCTGTGAGAAATTTCATCAGCGTGGTGTAAAACCTATGACTTGTTAATTTTGTCAGACAATGGTGCAAGTATAGATAAGAGGAAATAAGCAGCTCAGTGAATTCTTCCCAGCTTTTTTTTTTAAATCCACAGTGCAAGATGGCCGCATGAACCGTGGTCTTATTGTCTCCAGCGTTTCAACTCACTGTTGTTGCACCACTGTGGCACGAATGGTTTCCCATTAAAACATGAATGTAGTTTTTTTTTTTCTTTCTTTTTTTGTGAAGCTTTTTAAAGCGTTGACACCAAAATGGCTGCACAATTGGGCTCAGCTAGCTCTTGTACACAAGCATACAATGATATTAATTGATGAAAAATACTTTCAAAAAAGGTCTTAAGAGTATTTGTTTGGAGCAAATCTGGTGAGGCATTAAATACCCATGCATCACTGTTTAACATGTTTCACCATAAGACATCTAATACATTTTGTAACCCAGGAGGAGCATGAAACATCTGCATGACTCATTGTATTAATGCCTGAACTGAGAAAACACTAATTTTGGCATTTTTCAATCACTTATTTGGTAACAAAAGCGAACAAAAATCATTTTAAAAAAACCTTATTAGATAAAGGAATAACATTTTGTATCTTCTGTGATCAATCACCTATTGCTGTAAAATGCATCTCATAAAAATGTCGAGAGTCCAGGGTAACGAACCATTTGAGCTGCTGTGATTCATAACCTGAGGCAAAGTAGCAATAAGGTGATACTACGTGTATCATAGGGGAAAAGAAGTGTCTAATGCCTTTTGGATATTAATATGTGAGCTTGTTTGCCCCCAAGGAACAGAATTACTGGCTGATATCTGCACTTCCTGCCTTGTTAGGTCAGAACAGGTGGACACTACAGGTTTGTGGGAAAGCACAAAACTGGTTAAATAATAAATGCTTTAGTTTTTTTAAACAGTGGCGACAGTTATAGGTCTGGGTTAGGATAGGGCAGCGTCTGGGTCCAGACCTGGGGGATAGAGAGGCATGGCGGGTTAAAAGGGGGTGCATTTTGAACATTTTGTTAACAAGGGGAATGGCATCCTCCCTCAAATCACCTACTAGCTGTATTAAGATTTATAAAAGCAAAAACAAACAATTCATCATACAGGAACACCAAGTTTTCTTAATAAATAACTTATAATGTCACTTGTAACTCCAGTCAAGAGACCAAAGACCCTCTAAAATCATTTACATTCTGGTAACTGCGTATGGCTGCAAATCTAGGCCTGCTGAATCAATAGGCCTCATCCTGTGATCCACGGTTGAATCTTCAATAGTTGTGATCTTCAAAGGAGTTCAGAAAGCAGCCAACAGCAGAGCTAGCTGTGTTCAGGTGCAGTCAATAGTCTAGCGTAGCTGGGGAGGGCTGGTAAAGCTCTAGAGGACAAATCAAAGTCAGATTGATATGTGTTGCTTGGGGGTGGTTATGTGTATGTTAATGTTGCTGTATAGGTGATATTCTTCTGATGCATTTACTGGCATTTGGCCAAGCGAATATCACAATATTCAGAGTCAGTCAGAGTAAAAATACATACCATATAAGATAATGCGAAAACACTGCACAAATATATAAAGCACAGAGTCATAACTAGATCAGGCTGCAAATGAACTGTCAGGCCAAACAAAACAACATTGGGTTTTTTTCTGTAATCAAACTGTAATGTTTTAAACAGTAGAGCAATTATGTTGCTGATCTTTTCAGCTCAGTCTTAGGCAACAATTTTGAGCTCTATGAGAAACTTTGTTCGAATTCAAAACTTAAAAATTATTTTTCAAATTTACATTTTAAATGATGCATGATAATTTATGGTCCAGTCGTCTACTTTTGAGGTGAAATCACCTTTGAAATATTTGCTTGATAAGCCTGAGGAAACATTTCAAGGTTCCTTGCACAAGTGACAAAAATGTTTAAATGCCAGGAGGATGCCTTTTAAAAACATATCTTCAACTCTTTTACTTTCTTGTTCAGCCTACTTTTCCCCCACTCCTTAGAAAATGCAATTACATGTGACTTGAACGCATCATCGCTCCACTCTTGTTTGGTTAGGTGCAAATATTCACACTGGTATTTACAACACAATAGGAACAGCATCTCAGGCAATACGTTTCTGCTTTAAAGAGTTTCAGGAAGCGGTTAATATGTTCTTTTGGAAAATACTGAGCTAAAACTCGACACAGCTTTGTCTGACTCGTGCCAGGCTACACTCTGAACACCATGACGACAATCTGACACAGCCCTGGCAACATAAGAGAAAAGTGAAGGTTGTATCTTTTTGAATATGATGAATATTGTAAAGCTCAATAAACCAGTAGAAAAATCAAATGCAGCCTCTCAAGTTAATCGTGATCATTCTGGCAAAAGCTTCTTGGAAATGAGAGGAATTCACAGAACAGTTTGTTCTGGAGATGCAAATGTGCAATGATGAGCAAACCTTTAATACTAATTTTATGATAAAAAACGTTTTAATGATCACTGAGATGATTTGGTAATAATGATACATTTTTCAGACTTTTAATAATCTGATGTAAATATATTTGATGAAACACATTCCAGAGCTGGTTTTAAGAACATTACCGTGTGTTTTACAGCACTCAGTGTGATCAGCTTTGTGCTTTCACTGGATCTAAACCCTGCGCTCACCAGTTTAATTCCTTACGAAACACTGAGTAGAATTATATTGCATATAAAAAGCAGCAGAAAGGAAAAAAATAATGAAACACACAGCGGAAAATATGAATGCTACCTGCATGACGGCTGACTCAGGGATGATGACAACAATAACAAACTCTTCAGAAGGAAACATATTCACCTGACGTGAGGCATGACTTTCACAGCTTAAACCAAAGCCACCTGACAAAAGAGCAAAAATAGGGTGCGATTGTTCATCTTCTTTTCGGAGAAGCATATTATTCAGGCTTTGTTCGCAGATAACCTCAGAAAAGGGCAACTCTTTGCAACTTTTGTTTCTGCACAGAAACCCATAGACATATCCTACTTCCACTTGATAGCTGATGACCTGACTGTGTTTTTTTTTTTTTTTAAGCGCCCTCTTGTAACTGAAAAAAGTGAACAAAGAGCTCAGATATCTCACACTGCTCAAGTTATGTCATTTGGTGAACAGGTCTGAATGAGTGACACATCAGAATTAAAAAAAAAAATCTCCTGCTGTTTTCTCACCTGGTTTTTAAGAAGGCCTAATTACCTGGGGATTACCTAATTATTTTACACAGAATACACAAACTTGGCAACCTGCCCGTGCTCACTGCTAAACATGGCTTGCTTTTGTATTTGCAAGATATGGGTGGTGCCATTTATGGTTCATGTTGTAGCAGACAGGACATTTTTTTAACCCAGTCATTAGAATAATTGTTGGCATTGTGCATTTCTGCAAACCACACATGTAACAATATTGTCAGTTATTATGTAGCTGATATGTTGAAACTTTACGTTTTTTCATGTCTTAACGCTGTGGTGAACGTGTGGTTACGTCAGGCTGTTCTTATACACTTGTTTTATATTTTCCTATGAAAGCGAATGCACCGACATTTATACATATCCTACATAATGATGAGCCAGTGATTATGCATAACCCATGTGTTTTAGAAGGCTGCAATCACATGGCCAATGTGCTGACAGTAGTGAAAAAAATAACTGGTCCTGTGCGGTCCAATTAGGGGGCAGGTTGGAGTGGTGGATGAGTCACAAAACACAGGACATTCCCCAGGAGACCAGTGTTCAAAACCGTGTTAACTTTGAGTCATTTTAAGGTAGAGTTTCACCAGGTTTCTTTTCCTAAACCTAAATTAAGAATGTAACATCATTCTTGGGGCACTAATTCACAGGATAATATATGAACTGTTGTATGAGGATATGTTGGATATGTTTAGGCACAAAAAATGTTTGTTTATAGTTTGGAAAAGATTGTGTTTTGGCTTAAAATACCCAGTTTGGTCACCACAATTGCTGCTGGAAATGCAGCAATGTCTCGCTAAAAGCAACCAGTATTATTTCGTTGGTGGACGACAGTAGTCTCCAGCTTGGAAGCTGTCTCACCCTGGTGTTACACCATCCACCATACCTTCCTTCTTCCAAGGACAAAGTCAGTTTGTATACATGTAATCAGAGATAGGTCACTTTAGATATGTTGATATGATACGTATAAAATGTACAAATGTAATGTATGCATGGTTCGGAGAAATGTACAATGCCAACATTTTGTTCTGGCGACTGGGCTGCGTTTTTGGTTTGTTAAAAATTACTGTCTCCCTTTGGAACAGAGCTTTCAATTTAAGCAATAGATTAAAACTCATGCATGATTTACCACGTGTTTCACCCAACATGAATTCATGGTAGGTTGATTTAAAACTGTGATCTGTGTGTATCTGAAAATATTGTCATATTGTAATCCAAAATACGGCCAATCCTGCAGCCAGACTAGGTACATGAGGGAAGGTCGACTTAATAATACAAGCATGTCACTTCCTGTGATGCGTGTATAACATCTTAATTAAATGTTGTCAGTGTTTTCAAGTTGAGCAATCTAATTTTGATTGCAACGTACAGTACTGTACAGTACATCTTCAAAATTAGCTGAAGATATGACATAAGAAAAACAGTAACATAATAGACAGAGTGGAGGTGCTGAATTTTGTGGGCAGTGAGGAATAATAAGCCTGCATCCGGCAATGGATCAGCACTGAGGGATCGGCCTGCATGCATAAGAATTAGGGGGGGAGAAAACAACACAATCCTCCAGGAGTCATGATGCGGAAACAGCTGGATGGTCGTGGTTCGCACAGCCAGGGAGAAGAGCTGGATCCGCACTGAGCAGAGAAATGTAACCCACAGCCTCTGTTGTACCGTCCTTGTGTAAACACTTTGATAGGTGCGGAGAATGAAATAAATGAGTAACAACACATTTAGAAAGATTTTCTCTTCAGTCCTTGTCCAAAAAAACGCGAGGCATGCGTCCTTTCTCCTTCTCAGTTTGCCAGACTGGTGCTGTGGGCAAAGCTTGGTCCCAAGAGCAGGGTGGGTGGTTATTCTGTTGGGGTCGTGGCGACTGGGCTGAGGATGGGCGTCACTAAGTCCCTCATAGGACACATAGGGGAGATGGCCTTATGGCTGTAGTACTCCACTACTTGCTTGGGCACCTCCGCCAGAACACATTTGGCCAGGGCTGCAGGTGAAGCCTGCAATAGAGACAGAGAACAGCTGGAGATGTCAAAACAACAGTTACATATTGTTTTAATCTAAAATACAATTTCCCAAGAAGCTTTAAAGTCTTGTTTCCTGATCAGGGGACTGCAGACATGTTAGGACTTCTTTCTTCGTTTCAGGCAAATTAAAAGTGGTATGTCAGTGTCCCATGTTGTATTAGAGAGTAACTTTTCTGTTTATGACCCTGGAAAGTCGCTTCTACTTTGATCCTAAGAGCCACATAAAGATGAATAATGTGTCTTGCAGTGTTTGCATTTGTCATTGTTAAACTAGTATGCATGGGGTGAAAGATAGAGCTGTTAAAGCGTATTTCAAAAATTAATTTTCAGTTGCATAAAACTCACAACACAGGGGTTTAATTTATTACACATGTGCGGCCCTGCACAATAAATGATTTTTAACAATTTATGTGCCAAGTGTGGACACGTCACTGTGGAAAAGGGGCTGAACTTATAAACTGTGCACTTGTGATTTAAATTTTCTGTAATGTAGGTGTTTCCTCAAACTCTGAATGATTTATATCAATAAATATTCAACTATACAAATAGGTGACCATGTTAAGAAAAAACAACATGAAGTGTTTTGAAGATATACTTTGGAGGATTTTCCTAAAAAATAATGTCCAGATTCATACAGAGGTAATCCCTCTAAATCACCACTTATGACCCATTAGCAGTGTGTGGCAGTGTATTTATCTGCAAACTGCACTCTGCCTGTATTTTCTTCTTATTTTCTGTGCTCAGGATGTTTATGGGCATGTGCCCCCACAGTTCTCAGGTGAAGTCGGGGCTTTATAAAAAGGTAGCGACCAGGTGCCAGACCATAAGTAGCAAGGATACAAGAGGCACAGCGCAGAAAAAAACACAAATATAGAGAGGTGAAACACCAAATGAGAGTAAATCTTGGTTTGGCATTTACTTTATCTTTTGCTGGCAAGCGTCTTTACAGACAATAACCGACAACCCTGCATGGTATACCTTCACAAACCTTCAGACTGCATAGATTCTCTAAGACTCTGTAACTTTACTGGAGGGACGAACAACATGTATTTCCTTATTTGTTGTTTTGATGATGGTGTATTACACATTGCTTTCAAATCTCTTATAGGTGTTAAATTGGTTCGAGACCTGGTGACTGTGTTTACCAAGACCAAGCATATGATTCACAATATTTTCATATGCATCCCCTTACATCTCTTCACCTTGCTCCCTGTATTCATTTATTGTATTTCTCCATTTATTTATTCAGCTTTCTTCTTGAATGTGCCAACTGCCTGTATATGTTAAATATATACTATAACACAAATTTTGGGAAATGTTTCTGTTTAGAATATGTGACATCTAGTCCACATCACCCAGTGTAATTATGCAGCTGAAATGTTGCTGATTGCATGTAGCTACATTAAGAGTACATTCTTGTTTGAGGAAATTCTGCAAAATTTCTGGATCTCCTCCAGTCCATGATGTCCATCTGTGGCACTGGCAAAAGCTTCCTGTCTGCTCTTATGAATAACAAGGGGGGGGGGGGGGGGGGGGGGTGGATCAAACCATTGTTGAGGGGGGGGGGGGGGGGGGGGGGGGGGGGGGGGGGGGGGAGTGTTATGTAAAAAATATTTAATGTCCATGAGCATCACAAGCACAGCAGTCAGAAGGAGTGGGGTTAAAGCTGAAAGCCAACAAGTGAAGATTGACAGACGGAGAGAAAAACTGACCGTTTTGAAGTCTCTGAAGGGCACAAACTGCACAATGTCCCTGAGGACAGGCTCGCCCTTTGGTGAGCGTAGGACTCCATCATCTCCATCCAAAATCTGCATGTCTGTGAAGTCTGCATTGCCCACACCGACAATGATTATGGAGAGAGGCTGGTAGGAGGCTCGCACAATAGCCTCACGCGTGTCTGCCATGTCTGTCACTACACCATCCGTGAGGATGAGCAGGATGTGGTATCGCTGGAAGAAGATAAGAGCTTTCAGTGTGTATTAATCCATGTTGACATTAACCTATTTTAACAGCAACGTGGTTATAAGCAAGAACACCTCTCAGTGTGTGTTGCAGACTGACGCAGGCCTTTCATGCTGTCTTGGATAATTTCACAGCCTCCACTGAGCAGTTGAGTGTTGTTAAAGTTAAAGTGTACACAAAAAACAAGGGGATAAAAACAGGTAAAAAAAAAGGATGATATTAAAAGCAAAAACATTTCAACTACATCACAAACTACAGCAGAGACGTCTCGTGTGTGTGTGTGTGTGTGTGTGTGTGTGTGTGTGTGAAATTAATTTCATGTGCCCACTGAACAGTATAATATGAGAATATAAGAATTACAAGAATATTAACATGGCACAATATATGTACTGAAATCATTTCCGATTGGTCCCATGAGTAGTGGTTAGTTTGTTGGTTTCCTTACTGTGTTTATGTGTTATTCAATGTCTTGAGTGTGTGTATTTGTGCCCTGAAAGCCTGATTGTTTACTGCAGCTTATTTACTGATTAAAATAACGTCTAACATTGAGGAGTAAATAATTAGATGAAGGTCAGTGCAATCATAAGGGTGTAATAGTTTAGAACACAATGTCTTCGCAGCCGGTGGGTAATTTAAGATAGTAAATAGATAGACTTGTGTTCTTACTCCAAAAGGGATATCAAGGAAAGATAAGCTGCACAGTAACTCTATTAGCCACTTGTGCTAAATCACATTTTAACAGCAGCTCATGAGGTAATTCTAACACAAAAACGGGTCAATGACATGGAAATATCCATAAAAAACACACCACTGATACGACACTGTATGACTCCACTCAATAATTTAAAGAATACTAATCTGTTCTATAATGGGCCCATTCCTTCTTTGCGCCGTAGGGCATCATTACTATAAACAGTGAGGTGAATCAGAGGTTACTCACTCGGGAACTCAGTGGGATGCACTACAACAAAGCCTGTATTACATCCATATATTTCTAATAGAGCATAAAGAGACACTCACAGAAGCATCTTTAATGTTACCGTCGCCTGCTGCCAGCTTGGCTATCCTGTTAATGATGGGAGAAACATTGGTTGGGCCGTACAGTTGGATCTTAGGAAGGCAGTTCTGGTATGCCTCAACCACTCCTTGGATCTCTGATGAAAGAGCGCAAAATAAAGGAAACATCAATACAGTCATCTACACTTGTCATTAAACAAGCAACCATAAACTTAAAGTTACAGTCAGATGAATTATTTACTGCAGTCTTGCAAAGGATTATAACATTATAAGATGCCTGAATGTTTTCTGCCTAACACAAGTTAAAGAAATAGTCAGAAAAAAATCAATTATGAATCTGTAAAGACTATGATGACTAGCTCATGAGTAAGAACACAAATAGAGACAGAGGAGTTGTTTTTCTTCTTTCCTGTTGGATGCTATGAATATGATTCATTTCATTTATTCATTTACCTGAAGTTTGTTATGGAGAACCTGCTGAGTAATACTGATACTTTCGCATGATACTTTCGCAGCTGTGTTGTCAGATTATGAATGTTAAGGCTGGTATCATCAGCATAGAGATGCACTTTTCGGGCAAACTGGTGTACAAAGCCGTTCCTTACCTTCACATTCATCATCATCTGGGTTGAAATTAATGGCAAAGTCATGAGACACCTGTAGATGTAGAAGGAGAACATTATGAAACACTAATTTGGTGCCACTGTTTTTTATTTCTTACATGTTTTACATGGCTGCAATTTTTGAAACTGTGAAGTCCTAGATTGTTTTTTCTTTGGGAACTGCTGACTTTAATTTTGTTGTTGTTGAACAACATTCTGTTTGCACCAATCTTAAAAGTACAGTATCTGCATATCTATTTGTGGGGGGATTCTGTAGAATGGACTGGAGGAAGAAGCCAAACAAACAAAAATATCAGATGATTTAAAAAGATACACAAGAAAATAATTTTTGCGAGTTACAGAAATGAGGAAATAGAATGTAAGGCACGCTGATGGTGCTATTGTTGTTAATAGTTAACACTCTTGATTGAGTAGTGTTGTGGATTATGTATTAAAAGGATTAACATAGTGGTCTAGTTGGTGGAATGGACACTGGAACAGATAGTTGGGCCTATGTGACTGAGTCTTAATAGACTGGTATAGAATAGGTGTAGGACTAGACAAGCACGTTGCTTCTTCCTACTCCATTCAGACATGAAATGTTAATTTTAGTTGCTTTAATGGATACTTTATCAATTTTCAAACACTTCTGTTTAACAACAATGTGTAAATGAACTGTGGTCAACTTCTCTCCATCTTGACAGCGCCCAGATCTCCCTGCTCATCTCCCAGATCAAAATCACTGGCTCTAAGACTGGTGCTGAGATTACAAATTGTACTTAGAAGCAGATCAAGAGATAGATCCGCCCCCCTTTCCCTGTCAAACTCAGACCAAACTCATTCTGTTAATTGCAGGTTTTCTACCTCCTGAGCAAAGGCAAAGCCACAGCCCTTTTCCTCTGTTTTCTCTAGACATATAGCACTTTTTAAAAGTATGTGTGTCTTACTACTGTATAGACAGCCCAGTTTTATGAAAATACCATCTTTCCAGCAGTGAAATACTTGTTTAAGTGTGTTGTATCTGTTTACTGTTATCTATTGGTTCTTGCTGTTTTGTTTGTTTTTTACCTATATATTTTATGTATTTTCATATGCTCAAAACAAAGTATATTCTGAACATTCTGAACAAAATAACCATGGGGGTGGGGGAGCCCTCCTGTGCAGAGTTTGCATGTTCTCCCCATGTCAGCGTTGGTTTTCTCTGGGTACTCCGGCTTCCTCCCACAGTCCAAAGACATGCAGGTTAAGTGGTGACTCTAAATTGGTCGAATGTGAGTGTGAATGGTTGTCTGTCTCTATGTGTCAGCCCTGCAGTAGTCTGGTGACCTGCCCAGGGTATACCCTGCCTCTCGCCGAGTGTCAGCTGGGATAGGCTCCAGCCCCCCTGTGACCCCCAGCAGGCTAAGTGGTTACAGAAATGAATGTAGGTATGACAGTATATTCAATCAATCAGTTGTGACTTAATGGCTGATACACAGGTGGTTCTGTAGATGATTAGTGTTGCATGTAATTTAATAAAGGTGGAAAAAGTATGTGCTAATACTATGTTAAGTGAAAAACATTTAATCAGGAGCTAATAGAAAGCACATGTTAACTGTAGTGAGGCTTATAATTTAGGCTAATATAGTCAAAATCGAACTATAAATAAAATGTTATCTATATCAACCACTGGATACAAGTACTGCACATTTTCAGGAGTGTTTCATGTTGAGCCTTGCTTATGAGATGTGTTGTGCTTGTATTAATATTCTGAAAAATCACTTTGTCACACTATACAGTAATAAGCATACAGCACAAAATAAATACTTAATATCTGTTCTCTGAAAAGAGATTGCAACCCCTCATCTTTTATCAGGTCTGTTCTTGCCTTCCAAATGTCAGATTTACTTTGTTTATCTCAAAGCTGTTTAATTGGCAAAAATTAAATCCCCTTCTTGATACCTCCTTTCACAAAAAAGCCTTTTTTTCTACAAGCACCACCTGTCAGCCAGATCAGTGACAACTGACTCCTCTCCAGCTGGCTACTTTTTTTGTTTTTTAATTCGTCTTTGTATTTAATGTGGTTAGCGGTCTGAATTCAGTGGCTTTAGACAGACATGCGGAGCCCTTGAGAAATCATTTCGACGCAGCACCATTTAGTCTTTGCATTGAGCCACTGCAAGAAAGCGGATCTAGTCTTATATCTTATTTAACAGGCCTGTTTCATGGCAGCCCTCTTGACATGGATCGCACAGGTGTAACTAATAACATTAATAATGGCTGTGTTCCATTTATTTCCAGTTGTGAAGCTCTGGTTTTGCACAGGCTAGTTCACTGGCATGCTTACAGGGACACTTAAATGGAGCCGAGCATGGTTAAGCATTGGTAATGTTATTAGTTACACCTGTGCTTTTCCTGCTACTGTTTGACAGCCATTCAGTATTACAACCTTATTCTTTAGCTTTGTCTGTTTGCCCAAGTGCATAAAAATTCAGATTTTTGGGGGGTGAGCACCACTGAACACTGCTTTTAAAGGCTCTCAAAACCTATTATCTCAGTGGTGCTCTTAGTATAAACAAAGGGCTGAACACAACATTTTCTGACAAATTTGGAAGTCAGTTTTGTTTTTTTTCAATAGAGACATTTTAGTATTTGTGCTTTTGTCTGGTCTATTCTAACGGGTTTCAAAAGGACAGGGAAAAATTGTTGCCTTCAGTTCTGGTCTGATTTGTGTTTAGACTTATATGAAATATCCGATAAAGAGATATATCAGTGTTATATGCCTGCAAATTGGCTGCATGTTATGAATAATGATAAACAGGTAGAGACAAGACAATAAAGACGCATCTTGTACAGTGTTTTACCCTGGGGGATTTCACGTACTACACAGATACAAGCACAGCACACTGCAGCTTTAACTGCTTTTGACCGTCAGATCGTTTAGAGAAAAGCTCTGCACTCACATGCATGAGTGTTGCCATGGTTACCAAATGATTTGCATTAACATATACATCTCTTCCTGAACAGTTTACAAGCAGCAGATGTGTTTAGTAGTAGTAGTTTAGCTTTAAACTCATGTTATAATCACTCAAATCTACGATCACAAAATCCTGGGGTCTGCTTCCTCATTTACTTTCAGACCACCAACAAACCACATCAGAGTCCGCTTGGAAGCAAACAACTGGACCGAGACAGTCTGAAGAAGGGCGTCTTGATGTGGTTGTTAAGTCTGTGTCAAAGTTCGATTGACAACTTTGACACAAGCAACAAATACACCATACTAAACAGGCAAATGCACCAGAGTCTGCTTTAACAAAACCAAACAAGTTAGGTTTGAAAGCACAATTTAAATTTTAATAATAAACACTACCTGACAGGAAGGGACGTTCTTTTCTAAACCACAGAGGCTTCAAATTAATAAAAGACAGCAGGTCATATTCATTGCAATGAAATATGAGGTTTCTCAATAATTCACACAGCTAACTACCTGATATATCCTTGGCTGGCAAATTAATATCCTGGATCTTTATTTATTATACGTTTTCAAACCACACTTGTATGCATAATGCATAATTAAGGATACAAGAGTGCACAACCACATACTGAGAGAGAGCTGGGGTCCATCAAACCTACACACAGGTGTAGCCTATGAGTTCATAGATGCAGCTCATGATTAGTTTAATGACTTAATTAGCATTCACCTGCACCACCAACCACAATGTGGCAACAGCATGAAGTAGAATAAATTTGACTCCTGCAGGGCAGTCACTGTCATGGTAAATTCAGAAATTAATAGTTTGTGTTTACTGAGCCACACATCTTTGCATGATTGAAATGATAATTATCAGAGTTTCACATCAGCACACAGAATGGCACAATCTTACATAAAACACAGGCCGTTCTGGTCTGCTGAATTATCAAACAGCTGATTGATTCAACTGCGCATTTGTGTGCATTTGTGCACGCGCACCCACTCTTCACATGTCAGCCGTCTCCCCAGGGCTCTATTCAGAATCACTGAAGGCTTCTGGTTTCTCCAAGTCCAATTTGCTTAAACAAATGCTCTCACACTCACGAATTCTTATGTAAATTGAGCATCAAAGCTACAGGGCTTTTATTTTATCAGAACATGTTATTTTCTCAAGACAAGCTGATATTTTGAGACATGGGGCTTATGAATAAAAATAAACTCATTAATTAGTTTTAAATGTGAAATTTTGACAGGATGACAAATTGTGTCATAAAACAGGTAATGGAAATCAGAGGCTTGACGTAAAGTTCCAGGGTGGCGGAAAATACCAGGATTCCATCAGAGCATGTGGAAATACAGTATGCATAATATGGTTCATGTGAAGGGAAGGTCAGCGTGATGGAATCAAAGGAAAGTATAGTAAGAACGAAAAAACAGCGACAGCAGAGATACGATGAGATACTCACCTCATAATTTGGAGGAATTCTGGCACCAAACCCCAAAGCTGAAAATCTTTTGTCACTGAAACGATAAGCAAATTTATCAGTCATATATTACAGCTGCTGCAGTTTAATCAGGGATTCCTTTTGATGGTGATCTTAAAAATATTGATGGCTCATCCATCTGTCCATGCTTCCAATGGCAACCCCCCGCTTGTTTGCATTTCATAAATGTTAAAAGCTTGAATTACATTTTGAAACCCATCCCACGGTCCCTGCAGTCAGCGTTTGCACCTGTTCAAAGAGCTTCTCACAGTCTTTATCCTCTCCATTTTTCATCATACCACTTAGATGGGTAGCTATTACGGTAAGAGGCTCTGCTATGCTGGATTGTGTGCTCCTTGCCAAAGGCCAGGATGGGCAGATTTATGTAAATAACCAGACAAAGGCTGTGTCTAAAACAACTACCTATTTACCAGAGAGTGCACTCTGTTTACCCTCTGCTACTTTATTTGTATATCTGAGTTCTGAGCATGAAATCTATCCACTGTAAGCACCCTCAAAAATGTAACATGGCATTTGCACTACTTTCTGCTGTAAGTACCACAATGCAATGTGTCATATTTTATATTCACAAGTGTCAAGAATCTCAGTTTACTGCTAATTATAGAGTAAAATATTGATTGTATATCACATGGCCGGTAAATACGGGATTCATTTCAAACACTGCTGAGGAGTGATTATCTCTTGTCGATGCAATCAAGTGATGAAGGGTCTACCAGCAGCAGCTCGGAGTGAAAAATGGATAAAAAAACGTTAATTCTATCAAAGAGAGAAGATCAGTCAATAACTCTCCTTTCAAGAGCAGGTTGTTCTTAGAAATATATATATTCTTTGAGAGAGTGTTAAAGTAAACTACGACCTGACCTTGTAGTCCATACCTTCCCTGCTGTAAACAACAACAAAGTGATGCTTGAGGTATACAAACAGAATATAGTATGTGCAGATAAACGAGACAACAAGGCTTAACAGCTGCAGTCTTTATGGTTCAATGACACACAGCACCCCAAAAGGCAATGTAGCACCCAACAATGTCATAATTTCCTGTTATTTAACTTGTTAGCAAATTAAATAAAACCTACAATGTAATAACTTGACCAATAATGACCTAAAATGTCCTGATGGAAATTGTCACAACGTTCTTACTGATAATGTAACACCATTGAGGTAGGTCTTTAATTTTTTCAAAACTGATGATGTCATAATTATGTCAGGTAATGTAATAATATAAAAAAATAATGCTTTTTTTCCTTGGAAATATAAAGTGTGCAAGTATATGAAACTTGCAATACTGTTAGGGCACGTTTGCCCACTGAAAACACTAACATTTGACACTGATTTCATGTCTTAAAATGTGAACTCAAGGCTTTATGTAGAATTTGAAATTTGCAGTCACCAAAGATACACCAAACTGAAATCCCTGTCAATGGGAAATGAGCCCACCTATGACCAGATGTGGATCTTAGATTCCACACGAGATGATGACAAAGCTGCAGAAGATGTACCATCTGTCATTTACTACTCGCATGCATGCTCGCTCACAAACTCTTGCTGTCATTGTCTGGGGGTGTTAATTGAGATATCAGCTACCTCATCACAGTTAACCACCAGCAAAGCGTCACACCTTCATTGTTAGTCTATCATCTACCTGCTTTTGTTTTAAATATGATTCTCCCTCTGCCTTTAAGATGTCCATGCTGCAGTTGTGCGCACCCTCCACCTCCCCATCACCGCCCAGTCTTAGCAGATTCATTAGCTTCATCAGCCTCATCAGTCTCAGCAGAGTCACCAGCCACCGTCACCACCAGTGTCTGAACTGCATGGGGGGATTTATCTTCCTGCTGCTCAGGGCAGACATTCTTTGATTATAAAATCTCCCTGAAAAGTCTAAGTGCCAAAGTCTTTCAGCCAGATCTTAATCATCACATGTCATCTGTTAATCTGTACACCTGTAATCTGTATTACACAATTACCTTAGCTTCACTCACCTGTCTATTCAGATTTAAGTGTTCTTTTTTTATGAGTCAACAGTGATTCTTACTGAATGAAGTGTCTTCTTTGCCTCGCCTGATCTTATGAAATGTCTGCAAACCTTTCAAAAAGGTTTTCAAATCAGAGTTGAAATCACATTGTGCACAGATGAACATTGTTTGACTTCCCCCAGAGAACCCTGACCATCCGGCGGCGGAGGTCCGGGTGCTGGCAGCGGCATGGGGGCGAAGCCAAACACCGTTCATCTGCACACACTGTGATGCCAAACAGCTGGTTCAATATCAGCAAAGTTTCCCTTTATATTCATTGTCTTGTGTGGCGATCAGCAGTGATGTGGTGGTTCACTTTTACACTGTGATCTGTAGCCTATAGTTCGGCTTTAGCTTCTAACTATCTTTGTCTTTTTAACCTGTTGTTGCTGCTGAGTCAGTTTGACATCCTGGATATATCCTTCAAACACAGACTGTAGACCCCTCTGTCTGCTTCTCTCTGGAATCACTCTTTCATTTTTCCAAAAATATGATGATATTTCTTCAGGGAGTGCAGTTAGTTACAGTGTGGGCTCCTTTTTTTAACCTTTTTTCCTGTCCCCCAACTTTATGGAAGTGTCATAACAAATTCCTGGAGTACCCCTCTGAGTTCCCTGTATAGTTTTAGGACATCCTTTGTGCTAACTATACAGATAACACTTTGTGTTTACTGTAATGTACTAGAATTTGTGGCACTAAGCAGCAGAGCTGTCACGGCATGTTTTCAGCTACATCAGTGAATGTTTGCCTGCAGACAGCTTTCTTCAGTGGCTGCTCCCCTTATCAGAACAGTTACTGTACATGCTTTCACCACTGACAAAACAACCCCAAATCCTACAGCCTGGAGCGATCACAAATAACATCTCCAGCTTGAGAGAGTCATGAAACGATGTGTTCGATTCATTTACTCTGGACATGGTGTGGGTGCATCAAAGGGTACACAGCAGAATTTACACTGTTAATAAGTGTTGATTTATTTGGTGTGTTGACAAGTGTTGATTGGAGAGTTGTTTGCCCACTCAAAGAGCTAATATGGCTTTGAGGCAGCTTTTCAGAGCTATCAGAAGTGTTTAATTAACTCTGATGGGTGTGGACTTATATAAACGCTGGCAGATTGATGATTTTTACACTGTCAGAGTGAGCAATAAACTCTTAACTGTGAACTCTTAACAGTAGCAACTTTACTTTGGCAAGTTTCAGTTGTTCTATTAACAGGCCAGCCATTAGGAGCCATGGACAGGGGCCCCTCATCCACACCCACTCCAGCAACACCACTACCATTTTGAAAAATGGCAATGCCACTTTTTCTCTTGGCAAAATTTAGCCTAACTTTGGAGTGCTATTTAGTCCCTTCCCGACAAGATAGCATGACATGGCTGGTACCAGTGGATGTCTCTTGTTTCATATCATATCAGTATCTTTACTCTGGCTTTAAAACTGAACCAGCTACAGTGACTTTTACTTGCTAGTCTGCCCAGCTCCTCACCTTTGCCACATGTGTGTTCTGCACATCTGACCGCCACGGCTGATTGGGGTAGGACGCTGTGTCAAGTTCTGCCTGTTTGATGCATTATCTTCTTTCAAAACACACTTCCATTTTCACAGGACATTTACCTTAAAATACATGCACTATGTCAGTACAACAACGCAAATTGACATTGTTTTTCCTCCAACTACTAACACAAATGTTAAGGTTTAGGAAAAAAGAACAGGGTTTGGCTTTAGAATCTTCATGATGCAAAAACTCTTACACCCACCCACCCTAAGTTAAGTTAAGTCCCGCTGATTGTCATCCATCCCCTGAGGGAGCGGTGAGCAGCAGCGGTGCCGCGCTTGGGAATCATGAGGTGATCTAACCCCCCAGTTCCAACCCCTGATGCTGAGTGCCAAGCAGGGAGGCAATGGGCCCATTTTTATAGTCTGGTATGACCCAGCTGGGGATTGAACCCACGACCTCCCAGTCTCAGGGCAGACTCTACTTTGTTGCGTTAACTTTCGTCCTTGTCCTGCCGCGTTTCCATCTGAGGTCGCCAAGTGCCGTTAAACTATAACAGCGACTGGTCGCGTAAAATGCTGGCGTTAAAGGACAGCTCTTTTCGTCAGTGTCTGACGCTGCAAGTCACTGCCCAAGCGCCCAATTTTGACAACTTCGGAATGAGACCAGGTTGATTAATCGTGTTCCGCCGTGCCCTTTGACCCAATGTGTCACTGAACGCCACAGTGGCCCTGACACGTGGCAAAAACTTAAAAAAAAACTCCCAGATGGAACTGTTGATAGTACCATTCTCTGCAATTTCTGCAGTAAGGAATTTTCATACCATTGAAGTACTTAAAGCCTGAAATATCACCTCAACGCAAAGCATTTAGCAGTGAACCTGGAGGTCCGAGCTAGCGCAGCCTCGTCAAGCTACACTCGACCAGGTGTTCAGACGAACTGAGGAAGTCTTCCTGTGACCAACTAACTAACTCCCCTGCAAAATGGATTGCAATGGACTGCAGACCAGTTTCGGTGGTAGAGGACAGGAGGTCAACTGTGTCCAAAATCCAGCAGCAAAAATTGATGTATGCAATCAATTTAGATTAATTAATCACAGAGCAATTTTTTTTAACTGCTTGACAGCCCTAATTATCATTATTATTATTATTATTATTATCATTGCTCCTCCTCAAGGAACTTGGAAGGGAAAAAGATCATTTGTGTCTTTTCCAATAACCCTATCGTATTATATTTACAGTGGCTGCAAATAGTAACAGCAACAGCCTGTAGGCTTAGTTATAAAGACATCACTGAGTATGGTACATGGGCCATTTTGAGCACGTATTTGGTAACTATCATTATCTTCTGTTCCAATAACAACAATGAAAACAACAAAAACATGCGAATGAGTCCAACTTTTCATTCTCTGTAATGCAACCTCTCCACACGCCCTGGCTAATGTGCTGTACTGTAGCCAGATATAAACACACTCCAGTAAAAATGTTCCAAACAAATCAAAAGGATTCAATGTCCAACAGGTCCTGCAACAAATACAAAAGCATAAAAACACTAACATCTAACAATTTTCAACTTTTTTTTAAATCCATTTTCATCAAAATAACTCCATCCACTGAATACAGAACTTACTCCCACTATTGTAACCTTTCAAACTCACTGGGGTATGTTGTATGGAGGCAAAATAAAAGGAAAAACATATTACATGTTTGGTATTGTATTGGTTTTACCAGCTGCGCTCATGCAGAGGAAGAATTTTAATGAAAATATTCCAATCGGGAGGGAGTTATTCATGCTGAGCCAATTTCATCCTGAGATGTATTGCACAGCACTCATTATCCCGACCTCTAGACTCTTCCCATACCTTTATAAATTTGCCCTTGGAGCCTTAATGGACTGATTTCTAAGATGTCTTAAGAGATCACCAAACTCTGTCGCTCCAGGTGTAGAGACACAGTGCCCTCAGCCCAGACAAGAGCGCAGAGAAGACTACTGACAAGTCATTTTTGTCATATGAATTTTGCTGTGAGGTGCATGGCGGTCCTTGTTTTCTCACTTTGTCAGCACACGTGAGGAGCCACGGGGAGATGTGCCGGGTATAATAGCCCTCTCAACAAGGTAAATGAGCCTCTGCCCACACAGACAAAAGCTAGTCACTCCAGCTCCATAATGCACTCCTCTGCAAGGACTCTAAAATCCCACATCACCTATGTTCACTAGAGGCTAAAAGGTTTGCTTGCCCACATTTTAACAATTCCAACTTGAGAGGGAAGGGCTGCCTACACTTGCCGTCACCGCTCGCCCAGAGGCATGTTTTCATGTATGATGCTCTTGTGTATAAATGTAAATACAAAAATGATAAAGCTACAGGGATGAGCTGCTAATTTCCAGGCAGGTTTTTCAGTTTCTCCAGTGCTATCTCTTGGTTGCTATAATTAGCCAGACAGTGCTCCCCTGATATTCAATAGGAGGATCTGCATAAATCAGGAGTCAGAGTGTTAATCCTCATCTGGCTTAGTTTCGACAGATGCGATGGTCTTTCTCTGACACATATCATATTAGAAATAATTTCCCATTAATTAGCAAATACCTTCGAGTCTGACTGCAATAACTAATAGTTTTTTTACCTTTGCACATTGTGTGATATTTGTTTTCAATTTCACAAATGTATGTGACTGAAGTGTGATAACTCCATCAGCCAGAATTTATACTCTTTACAGTAACAGGAACTCTCACATGACAATGTAACTTCGCTTAAATAGCTTCAGTGTGTTTAATGATCCCTCAAACAGGCTTCCTGCTGCACCTCCTCTGTCTTTACATCTGATTATACACCTCGCTGTTATTCCGCCAGCCATAATGCCTCCCACTTCTTTTTGAAGTGCCTGCTATCCTGGTGTTAGCCCCTGTCTCTGCATGTGTTCATCTGTAGCTCAGGCTAATGAGCCCATGCAAGCTAAGAAAGGGGACCAGTAGCTGCAACAGATGCTGGGAGGAAACCGTACTGTTGAGTTACCCACAGGCAGCCACCACGGTGAGCATAAAGACTGTCTGGTACATGCAAAACTGTTAGCACTGTCCTTGTGCGTGTGTGTGTGTGTGGGTGTGTGTGGGTGTGTGTGGGTGTGTGGGTGTGTGGGTGGGTGTGGAACGTACGTAAGAACCATGAGTTTCCATTCCTGTCTCTTTAATGTATTTTTACATATACTGTACGTATGACCATATTACTACTGGCCAAATAGCATATTGACTATATGTAATCTAACCAAATACTATATGATTATATAATAGTCAGAAGCCTAGATAGATAGATAGATAGATAGATATCTCAGTCATATGGTGTGCATCTTAAGGACTTGTGCACATAATATTGAGGCATAGAGGAAAATTAAGGTTTATCTTCAACTCTATATACTAAACTAAACTGTTCTGACATGATCCTTGAACCATGGCCTAAAGTCCTAATTATCTAATATGGTGTAAAAAAAAAAAAAAAAAAAAAAGAAATTCCAGGTAAACCGACTCATAAATGAGGGCGTCTTGTCTCCCCTTTGAAATGACTTGTTTTCCCCTCGACAAGCACCAGCAGTTGTAGGCGACAGCGAGCAGTTCTGTTTGTATTTGTATTGTTTTTCTTTGAAATCTGCTCAAGGTTTTTCAGCTATGCTGCAAACTAACAGACGTGCAAACAGACAAACCAGACCAATGTGCCATTTGTATCTGAGTGGAACGTGGGTGTAGGGAGGGAGCTTGAGCTATGTAATGTGTTATATTACATAGGAAAAAAATTGAAGTTACATAAAAGTGGGTAATTTGACGATTGTATTATGGATTTCCTCAGCAGTGTCACACAGAAAAGGAGGGAGAAATACAGATTTACAGGTATTGTAATCTATCATAAAAAACGATCATTGAGGCAACAATCCAATACAAAATGTATAACAGAAACTGTTGAATGTTCACTTTGTTTTTTCCATTGGCCTTTTTGCAAAAGCAAAAAATCAGTATGCGCGAGATGAAGTGTTTGTTTTTTTGTTGTTTTTCCTCAAATTGTTATGCAAGACTGGGTCAGGAATATATTCACAAATGGCTCAGAAACCTCTGCCAAAAAGCTGTCAGTAACGAAACTGATGTTGCATTGGATTTAAATGCCTGCAGCTATAAAGGTCAAAGTGTCATCTTTCAGATAGATTATTAAAAACTGGAAAATAATGGATACTTTGACAAACTGGCTCATCGAGTGCGTCCAGAATATTGTGTCAGTGTCCTTGACTGCTGCTACTAAGCACCAGCTTCAGCCCCAGATTAGCCTCATGCATAAGTAATGTCGGCAGAGGCCAAATTTGCTTGCTCTAATTTTCCAGGTACAAACAGCTTCTCATGCATTACTTTGCCACGGGTTTAACACAGATTAAGGGGTTTACCAGTGAGAACATGATGTGGACGATAAACAAGACGGTATTTGTGCTGCAGGTAACCAGTGGCTTTTTTGACAATGCAAGGCTTTTAACTGAACCATTAGAGAGAATTCAAAATGCAAAACACATTTCAGTGAAGAAATGAATCATGGATAGAGGAGCTGGCGGTCAACAGTTCAACTGGTGGTGAGCAGAAATGTAATGATTTTTTTTGCTCTGTCAGTACTCCATGATTTCCATTCCAATCCTTTTGCTGTGGTTCAGCTGGAGTGGCTCGTTTCAGTGTGAGAAATCCCACCGAAATGGTATGCAAGGGGCACTCTGCAGCTCTATTACACTGACACACTGACAATCCCTGCAGGCACCAAAGAGCCTTTACTGAAAAACAAAAGACTGACAAACCTATCATAGTCTTGACAGATCTCCCCCACTGCTATCAGAGCCTTCAGGTACTCGTTGGGCTGGTAAGGGTTGATGTAGTGCAAAGAGCAGCTGTTCCTGGGGTCTCCATTGGAGGCTGTGAAGTCGATGGCAACCTGGTAGAAAGAAGTGCAACTATAAGGATGCAGATATAATCAAGTTTTTATTTTGCTGCTTAACTTTTTTATTTGGCTGCTTATGAAATTACAAGTAATTCTGCTTGAGCGAGCTGGAGATATGCATAATGGCAGTATAAATTATCTGATCAGAGGTAACAACTCGCGCTCTTTACACCCACATAGATGGGAACGGCTACAGCTCCCGTACAGTGTAGATCTAAGCAGCCAGTTATTTCAACAAGGAGGACCTGCATCTATCACAGCAACCCTCATAATTAATATTCATTGCTTCAGTAATCCAGCTGGAGAGCAAGAGGTAGAACTACAGAGGGCAGACCAAAGGGTGAGAGTTGAAGACGGTTTAAATTGATTCCACGAAGCTGCCAACAAGAAAAGTAACTGTGGGAACGCACAAAAACACCATCAGGGGATGTTTTAAGGATTCAAATATCTTTAACGTGCAGAGAATTTGATGGTATCACATAAGGTAACTGATACAACAGGACCAGTGCAGCAGGGATCAATACCTCAGTACTCACAAGCTTCTCATTTGGTGTTGTCTCTTTGAAAAAATATATTGATAATAAAATCATATAGTGGCTGCACTTCCAAATGTTTTCAGTACCTTTATATAATGCTTGTGCCAAGACAACACATTCTCACTCCAACCTCGCCACAGATTGACGTTTGGTCATGGACTTTCCACGTCCACATACGACATGAAAGGTACCCTGGGTGCATTAGTTGTTGACGCTCTTTGACACTGTGTCATGTTCTGCCTGTTACATGCATTGTCTTCTCAAAATACACTTGTATTTACACAGGAAATTAACTGTTTACATACAGTCTCTTTCAAAATAAATGCACTATGTCGGTATAACATTGCGAAATTGACGCATTTACAAACACAAATGGTTGGGTCAAGTGGTTAGGAAAAAACAACAGGGTTTGGCTTTAGAATCTTACTGGGTGTGAACACCACTCTCTTGGGTGAAAATCTGTGCTTGCTGGATCCATCCACCACCCCTCCTGCCTTTCGCCGCCTTAACTTTCGTGCTTGTCCCGCTGCGTTTCCCCCTGATACTTTTTTTTATTGGTTTCTTATGCTGCAAGTCACTGCCCAAGCACCGGATTTTGATGACTTCAGAGTAAGACCGGGCTTGCAAGAACAACTTATACATATTTAGTCACATGACTGCGGAAATCTATGCAACATCAGAACAGAGCACACAATCGTACACTTCTGAATCAAACGTGAGAAAACGGCAGAAAGTAAATATAGCATGCACTATTTGTGCAGCCCTTCTCCTGGAAATTATACTCATATCCAATTAATTTAAAACAGTTTGGGGCAGAAATGTTAATGCTAATGCTAATTCTGTTTTCTTTTAACATAATGAGAAAATGCAGCTAATTACAGTACCTGGCAAGTCGCAAAAATGTTAATACTAAACATATCTACAAAATGCTCACTTCTTTCTTTTCTGCCAAAATGGGCAATCTTGCAATACAGTATCCACTTGTAGTGGCTACAGCATTATTTTTCTGAAATCACGATCTTGACCTAGCCTTAACCAAAGTGCTTTGGTTGCCTAAACCTAAGAGAGGAGTCTGGACAGGAACCCAAAGGTCTGGTGTTAAGGTCCTGAACTTTCTGTGCAATTATTACACTGAGCATTTTTCAATATACGACTTTATCATGCACATAACTGTACATATTTCTTATGTTTACTTTATTCTATTCTTGTTCATTCTATTGATGTAAATATTGTAGTTAAGTAACACTACAGCCTCAGCACAGCGACGATATATTTGTAATATTTTAATTTCTTAAGCACTAGTCTTAAACCCTGTAGCATTATGCGCATTATGTTTTTATTTTATTTTAATGCACATTATCATTTTTATTTTATTCTATTTTATTTTATTGCCTTATATTTACATACTTACTTCTTATAATTCTCTATTCTTTACATTGGAGCAACTGTAACGAATCACAATTTCCCCTTCTGATTTGTTTACCCTCCACCCTTCACAACCACCTCCTTCTGAAGCAGACACAGTTCATGACGTAGTGTTTTGTTTCCTAAAAGAAATGTTGTCGCTGAACATAATCCAGACAGTTGCCACAATAACATAATCAAGAAAGCAGTTAGGCGCATACAAACATGATTTCTAGGAGACAGGGTTGATTTGTGACAACAAAGTGCCACACAGCAGCAACATCAGTAACCTCTACAAAATTTAACAACTTACTCTGAAAGTTATGAGCAGGCTGAACAAAAGAAAAGAAGGTGTCCATAATAAATTTGTAATATTTCATAATTAATGGCTGGTGTGTGTCATATTATTTCTTTAAAATTTTTCATTTTTTAATCAGATACTAGTTTAAGAAATGATCAGAATCATTGTTAGTGTTGGTGTTGTGAAAGCTGATATAAAAAGTACTGGTGTCATATCACATTGAAAAAAGTTTGGTATCACCCATCCCTACAGTGCAGTTATGAGCTCAGTGACAGTGAAGCGTCACTAAGCAGAGGCTGCTCAATTTACCGTAAAGTGAATCTGGCATCCTCCCATGATGTAATCTAAGAAGGAGTACACTCTGTGGAGCTGCAAAACAAAATAAATAAAAATTAAGGCAAAACCTCAGAGGCATCTTGTGGGAAGCATCTGGTCATTAAAATGTAATTAACTCAACAAATCTGTTGACTGTAAAGGGTAAAACAAATGTTGTGATATATCTTCTCAAAGCAGCGGAAACTTAACACGCCCTCTGTGGAAACAGGCGTGAAAATTTTGTCATTTCAGCTGTACAGTGAGAGAAATTAAAAAAGACTGTTTCTATGTAAAGTGCATGCAATCAAGCTTTTATTACTACAATTCATTCATACTGTTCCTGAAATTCTCAACACTGGTTGGCTCAGCTGATTCCTACCTTTAGGTCACTGAGGATGACAACTCCTGAATTTTTATAGTTTCTCTTCTTCTGTTTGTACTTGGGATTTACACAGTCCCACGTCACCTATGACAAAGCAAGTTGAAGACATGGAGCAACAAACAGAAGAACACTGGCGATATATCTTAAGCAGCATGACATTTGTTTAATCTGGGATGGATTTCAGCAGAGTAAAATGAGAGGCATATTGGAAATGGATAAAACGGGCACACCGCTGTCTCTCCTCCGCTCTGCTCCGCCCCTCTGTTCACTGACCTTATTTCCACTGGAAATTTTCTGCATTTCCCTGAAAGTGGCGTAGAACTCGCCGATGAAGTCGTGTTTCCCTCTGGAGTCATAATCCCACACTAGGCACTGTGACACACACACAGACAACACTGTTGACTGCTTTGGTTACAATATGTTTTCATTCATTCCTCAAATACTGGGAAACATGTTTTGCTCTAATCCTGTTTTGTCCTGACCCTTGTGTTTTTTACTGATGTGGTCATTTACCTTGAGCTTCCGCTCCTCATCACAGTTGCACAGAGATACGAGAGACACTTTGAAAGGCTCCCACACAGGGTTCAGGTTGTTTTTGATCACCTGTGAGCGTAGGAACACATATCACATGAAGCAAACAGGCAGAAAACAGCTGTTGCTTAAACTGATGGTGGAATATAATGAATTCACCTCTGTTCTGTGGACAAGCTGCTCGGTGTCATCGTCATTGATTCTGTATATTTCCAAAAATGGGTCTGACTTGCTGAAGAGATCCTGCAGAGAAAACAAAACATCAAAACTACTGACTCTTAACGTTGGTACAGGACCCTGTACCAATTAATCTTTTGGACAGGTGAGAAGGTCAAATTAATTAAAGAAGCTCTATACAATATTCAGTGTATTTATGATTCAGAGTCTGGGGCAGGACTGTCTGCACGCGGCTCTTGTCACATTGTTGTGGCTAAGCCGGCAGCTAGCAGCTAACAGTGCTAACATTGTGAGACCTACTAATAACGGACAACACATTCTCACTCAAACCTCGTCACATATAGGACCTTCCACGTCCAGACACGACGTGCAAGGTACAGTGGGTGCGTTCGTTTTTGACATGTCTGTTTTGCCTGTTACATGCATTGTCTTCTTACAAATTACACTTCCATTTTCTCAGGAAATTGATTGTGTACATGCAGTCTCTTTCAAAATAAATGCACTGTGTGAGTACAACAATGCGAATTGACCTTTTTTTTCTCCAACAACTAATACACATGGTTAGGTTAAGGGAAAAAGAAAAGGGTGTGGCTTTAGAAACTCTCAGGTGTTTGTTGTGTTTAACTTTTCTTCTTGTCCCGCTGCATTCCCCCCTGATGTCGGCAAGCGCCCTTAAACCATAACGGCAATCAACATTAAAGGATGTCTTTTTTCGTCTGTGTTTGACACCACAAGTCACTGCCCAAGTGCTGGATTTTGACGACTTCGGAGTGAGACCAGGTTGTAACAGAAACAGTGTTGACAGAGCTGGTAGTGTTAACCTGGAAAGCAGGGTGGGCACTACACTTCTGGGACAACAACCTCCCGATATGAGTGGTAACTGCTGTATGAGTGCAGTGCAGAGCAGTGGTGATCAGCTAACCAGTGGGATACACACACAGGACTCACATTCAAGCACGGACATACTTGCCAACCTTGAGACCTCAAAAAATGTGTTTGGGGGTCCTTCCCCCAGAAAGAAAATTGACTTTCAGAGACCTTGTTTAATGCAGTCTGGTGACTTTATGAAGATGGCAATATATAATACGTATGCTGCAATAGTATGTATATATTAAATACTTTTAATTTAACTTTTAATACTCAGGAACAAATAAAGAATAAATTGCCCATCTGAGGCGAACTTGCTTAAATCTCTGGTATAAACTAAAATTTATCAGATTTATTCATTCCCCCCTTGCTCAAATGCAAAATCGACGGGGCAGATTTTACAAAATGCATCCCCCTTTTCTTCAAAGGTTTCCATAAGAAACAAGAATTTGTCTGAAATTTGCTTTAGTATTATTTTCCCAAAGTATTCTCCATTGCTCTCTCTGCATTATTGCCCATGTGGAAACAGAAGACCATCACATTTAACACTCAAGGTTTGACTTACAGGAACTCTATTTACCATGTTGAAGCTAATGAGTCAGATAATATTAATCATGGGGTTGTGATGGCAAAATTACAGAAAAAGCATCACCACTAAATATTTTAGAGGCTATTTCAACATCTCTTTTTTAGGCTGGTTTGCATGTAATTTATACAGATGGCTGTTGACAGTGATTTATCAGTGCTGATTGCAGAGGTGATTGCCTCTGTGATTTAAAGGTCAATGAGGCACAGGCACAGGATTTACAGCACAGCAGGGGGACTGTTCTGGAGGAGACATCATCAAGAAAGGAGTTTGTTTTTGGTCAGACCAGAGTATGAGAAAATTTTACAAGCTTCCAACTCATGCCATTCCCTAGTTATTACATTTCTTCCCTCAATCACTGACCTTTTTCTTGAGCCAATAGCGTTAATGACTCGCTATTTCCTCCCTTATAGCCGTCATTGCAGTTCTGAAATATCTTTATTGGTTTCTTCGACCAATATTTGAAGCATTCACTAGCAGAGAATTTAAACTTTCTTTGCACTCCATTACTTCCAATGTGCAATATGCATCTGAAATAGCCCAGCATTGGGGGGTTATTAACATCATGCATTCGAGTTAACTCAGTGGTAACTGTGTCCGTTTACACCATCAGTGTCAGAAAATACCCTGCCAAACTGAAAACATGCATAACATTTTCTCATCCGTCATGGTTATTTTCGGTAGCCTCAAATCATCCTCGGAGTCTCAAGTACAGGCGTCTGAGTGCAGAGCAACACTTATTATTTAGGTCAATTGATTCTTTAGGGAGGAAAACAAATGATTACTGTGTGTGTGTGTGTGTGTGTGTGTGTGTGTGTGCGCGTGTGTGNGGGGGGGTGGTGAGGGGGCTTTGTGAACACCGAATGAGAGTTAATGCTGCATTTCCCGCCACATTAGCCAGATACATCTCCTGAGGGACAAGGACAGGAGCAAAAAGAGCCATAGCATCCTGTCTTTGTTGTCATGGCAACTGCAAGCCAGTGTCGTCAGAGGCATGGGCACAGATGTCAAAATTCAATCATTACCACTTACCGTGATCTAATATTGCGTCATTAATCCTCCTGTTTATTAGCATGTATGCTGGGATCCTTCAGTATCTGCGGCAGGTTGAGGTGATACAGCTGATGAGCAGCTAATTGGAAACCATGCTGCTTCACTCATCATCTGTTAGATAAAGAGCTACACCCAACATCTAACTGCTGGTTTAGTGGCAGCTAATTTGCATTGTAAAGACACTGAGCATATAACACACCTGATTGCTGATAAAATCAAATAATTATGGGAACTTGATTATAATAATGTAAAAGTTACTTTGTGTGACCTGTTGACATCCACCATTTGCCTGATAAATAATATCTTTGCTTACATATATTAAGCAGTTAAAGCTGCACAACCAGAATGTACAGTTTTGATTCATCAAATGTCAAACAGACAAAGTTAGCGTCTAGCAGGTGAACATAGTGGAGCATTTAACACCTAATAAGCTAAACGATGGAGCTGGTGGAGACCAAAACTTAGCGAGAAAGTGAATGAGTGAATCAGGTGGTTAGAAACACGACTCACAATTAATGATCCTCTGTATGTCTGCTGGATGTTTATGCAGTCTACTGTTTGCTAACTACTTTTGGGCAAGTTACTTAAAAATTTGTTTAGAAATTACTCAACAGCAAAAGGAATGAAAATCATTTCTTTACTCTACTTGCTCAGCCCATCTCCCTTTGTGCCTTTTAAACTACTTCAAATCCTCCACACACACTTTAAATCTTGTGTTTTTAACATGCATAAAGAAGAAATAGAGTTTTAACATGACAAATCTCTGAATCAAATGGCTTTCATCTAATGACGATAGAGCTGCGGGGGTGAGGGCCAATATTTCGGGCTGATTCGGTGTAGCAAGCTAATATGCGAGTTCAAGGCCCTGACACACCAAGCCAACGGTTGGCTGTCAGTCAACGTTGGGCCATTGGTGAGCATCTGTCACCCTCGTTGGTGCGGTGTGTCCCACACCGTTGCCCCTCGTCAGCCTCCGTTGGTTTTCTTTTTAAATCTGTGACAGTGGAGCCTGTCAGTGCGTTCAGCTCAGTGCACGAGGAGAGAAATGGAAGTGAGGAAAGCAAACAAACTACCACTGTCTGCTGGTGTGGAAAGTTATTTCCTGTTACGCAGGTGCTGTGCATTTGTGCTGGTTGACCGTCAGCTGTAGTCCTTGAGGTGTGTTCATGTGTAATTTTTTCAGCTGAGACACGGCGATGTCACGCAACGCAGCAGGGGGGTTTTATCGCCTCTAGTTTTCTGAAGTCAGTTTGGTGTGTCGGGGCCTTAAGACTTCCTCCTATGTGTGCCAGTCATTTTGGCAAATCACTATAAACAGATATCTGATTACAAATGCTAAAACATTTTTTTTTTAAAAACTAGTATAAAGTTAACTTGTCAAAATATGATAGCCAGTGGGTCAATGCTACTCCAACTACATACATATAGATTCTGCATTCATATGCACAAAGTGATGACACAGCACCGTCATTAACACGCTCACCACCAACAAGTGTTTAAAGGTCTAGTGTGCAGGGTTAATGGCATCTTAACTGAAACTTCTCCCATGTGCAAAGAATGTAAAAAAAAAAAAATCGGGGCTACTGAAGAAACATGACAGACTCAGAGGGAGAAGACTCGGTCCTTATGTAGATGTAAACAGCTCATTCTAAAGTTATGAAAATACAGGGATTCTTATTTTCAGGTGATTATAAACTTAAGAAAACATAGTTATGAATATTACATTCCCTCTCCACCAATAGATGCCCCTCAGTCCTACACACTGGACCTTTAAGGTGAACATATGTCAATACAGTATTTACAGCTACTTTTGTTGCCCTTAAGTGGCCAAACAAAAAAAAAATCATTTCAGCAATTATCCTGTCTCATTTTAATCTGACAGAGAAGTAGTCCACTTCTAATACAAGAAATACTAACTCTGCATATGTGACAGCAAACACTGCTCACACCTATGCTTGTTGTTGACACATAAATGTTTGCACAAATGATGCATAAATGAGCCCGACTTCTGTGACAACACCAAACTAGACGTCTCATAACCAGAGCCTGAGCTTTTCCTAGTTTATTCTGACCAAGTTATGTCTGTAATCATCCACCTAAAGATGGGCTGTTAGAAATTGGCCGTGCATGTAAACAAAGTCAGCGTCTATCATTTTCTGCATCAGTGTTTTTGGATATTTGGCATCAAGAACCAAACTCTGCTCCAAATAAGCTGCTGAAATGTTTGTTCAGAGTGAAAACATGAACACTTTTGTGCCTCGGTGGCACATAATTACACACCACTGCTCCACAGCGATGCGCCCACAGCCGTAATCACATCAGTTTAAATAAAACAAGCAGGTGGATCCTCCAGGCAGAAAGTCAATACTTCCAGTAGCATACTGGATATATGAGGCAAATATCACATGCAGGGGAAGATGCACTTCATAGCAAGGATTTTTTTCTCCCCTTATCATCTCCCTCCTGTAAGAGTCAGGTTCAATTTCACTGTCAGAGTCGCAGGAAACTGCAAACTGCAATTTCAAAAATAAATGTACATGCTGTAGAAAATCTGAATCTTCCTCCGAATACCTCTGGGAATCAGGGGCAGCCTGTGAGTGAGGCGTCCTGAGGCTCGCTCCTAAGAACATGGAGTGACTTCAGATCATCAGAGTTGTAATTGGATGTAAGCTCCCGCAGTCTTTTTGATTGAAACATGCCTTTGGCAAAGTTTGATAGTGTGAGAGCAGGAGCAGTTAAGGTCGGTGATATCCGGACTTAAAGTGGAACCGACAAGTAATAACACACATTTTACATATGATATCATGTGCTTACATGTCATTTACATGTTGACAGCATCATGTAACTAAAACGTGTGATATCCAGTGGTATTATCACTTTTTTTCTCTCCCTGTAACTTCAAATATAGATTTAAAAATAATACACGTGTGTAACTTAAAGGTCAGTGATACATTGAGGGTACTTTCTCAGGCACAGCATCACAATTATCACATACTACTACTATCACTATGCCTGTCTAGTAGGGCTTTACCTGACTCAGAATTATGTCAGTTGAATCAGATTTGCCCGTTCAATCTGAATTTTCAACTATTTATTTGTTATATAAAGTCTGGGAGTTTGAAGTGGCAGTGATGTTCATGTAATGTTTATATAGTAATCTGAGTTGATGCGTGCTAACTATGCTAACGATGAATCATACATATGCTAACAATATTTTTCGACTGTATCATGGTAAGTTGCTGTGAGCTGTAAGTTTGCCAACTGAGTCCGTTTTTATTCATCCAAAATTGTTGCATGTCTAAAAATAAATATGACTTCACATTGTGTCAAGTTGAGTCCGAAACTTTCGTCCATCATTAAAATATTCAGAATGGTGCGATTTTTTTGCATTTTTTGTTTTCATCACAAGCCTTTAGAGACGTTTGACCATGAATCGGTGAAGAAAACGTGGGGGCGGGACACAGCCAGGTCTCTCAGTATGATTTCATGACTCAGACAACTCACTTTCAACAGGTCAGATCGTAATATTCAGGTGGATGATGACGAAGAGGAGGAGGATGTGGACCGCACACAAAATGCGGAGAGAGGCAGGAAGCACAGCTCCACCCCTTCATGCAGCTGCGGTGCCAAATGAAAAACAGGGAGGGAGTGGTGACAGCCAGGTAGGCAAAAGAAGGAGATGTGTCTTTTCATTTTGTCATGTATTGCGAATTTTCACAGCGAATAGAACAATAAAACGCATCAGAATCAGTGTGTGAGTTTTCTGTGCTGAAACATTTTTTTCGGGTGATGGATTAAAAGAAACGCATCTGGGGAAAAAAAGGGCTCGGTGTGTGGAGGCTTTTAAGCAGGAGCTAAAAGATAATATTATCTCAGAGCCTGACTCCAGGCAGCTGCCTCCATCTCACTCAGACTCACCCTGGGTTTGTGTCTGCAGCTGCCTGTACCGGAGAGCAGCATTAAAACAAGGTGTGCTTGATCTGCAGCTAAATCTGAGGACCAAAACTTCCCCAGAAGCACACTGCACACTGACTGACTGCTCGATATGAAGAATCACAGTTGACTGAGGGGTTTCCATCTGATGATTCGGATCTCTGACTTTAAGAGGGCAGCCCCACTGTCTAGTGCTACTAAACCGTACCTAATAAAACTTGAATTGTGTTAGTATTTCCATCAAAACTGTGTGCTCCGCTCACCTTATCATCGAGCTTCTTGGCACAGAAGGAGAGCTCCACATACCCGTTGTTGCCAGAAATTTCCTCGGCATGCACCTGAGAGGAGATAAGATTTGTCAGTAATATTTTGGGCTTTTGGGCTTCATTATTCATGGCAAGAAATCACAACCCCATGATCTACATTTCCGGAAAGGAAAAAAAAAACCTTTAAAGCTCATAAAAGCTACTGTTGTGACTGAAATTGAAACCGCAGACAAGAAACATAAATTTCCGACAAATGACATTGGGTTGCAGAGTAAGATTAAGCCTCTAGAATATTAAAGTGAAGGTATTTATGTGCCCGTATTTAAAACAGACTGCTAAAAATCAGTTTTTATGCACTATTTTTTCCTTTCCAATGCGACTTTTACTTTAGTAGCACCTGCACTATGGTAAGCAGCTAACAGAGTTAAGTGGCTTTTACTTAACAGGGGACTCCAGGACATTAAAACCAGAGTGGAGAGCCCTATTAGCTGCAAAGTAATGGCTCCCTGCTGTTACAGGTTATTATCTCAACTTGAACATTCCACTTTTAATGGATGTGAAAGTTACCACGTGCAGTACAGTGCAAGTGAAAAGTTCTGTAACAGCTCTCTAACATCTCCAAACGGCTGCTTTTGTTTGTTTGCTTGTTTACGTGTGTGTATGTGTGTTAGTTAAAAAGAATCAGCAAGCACCCTCTGCTGCTCCCTCTGGCCCACTCACGGAACGCGAAAGTTTTGTCTCTCTTTGTTCTTCTATTTGAAATTGACAGAAACTTCACACCAAGCTGCCAGACCTGCAACTGCAGAGCGGACAAAGCCAGGGCTTGACAAGGCTTGACAGTGATGATTGGCAAAGTAGGAAACTTGTGCTTTTTATCAGGCAGCTTGTCCTGACAGGTATCGAGCGCAGGGAAACATCTTTATAAAAGGTGTGGGCAGAAGGTGTGAGTATGTGTGTGTGTGTATCTCTCTCTCTGCGTGCTTGTGTATTTCCACCCTTGTTGGGACCAATAAAGGATTTAGAGTGAACACATTTTTCAAGTTCTGTTTTAAGGTAAATATTTGGTTTTCTGGTTGGGGTCAGGAAAGATTTTGTCTGTGTGTAGGATACACGTTGGGATTAGGGGTGTAGTTGTTATGGTTAAGGTCAGAGTCAGCGCCAGGTGGAGGTTTATAGATCTTTAGGCCCTGAACGCTTTCAGCAAAGCCCAAGAATCTTTACTGTTCAACACACGAGGCATCTTTTGCTCTGAGATGAGATCAGCTTCTGATTCCTGACAGTCAGGTCACTAAAATGGAGCAAGTAAACACAACGCAGGACAGCTACATTTACTAAAACTTCACAAAGTGCTCACATAATTTTTCTTACATACTGTAGTATTCACTTGGCCGTGGGTGGACTATGGGACAATGGGCTCCTGGGCACAGACAAGGAAAAGGTCACATCACCTCTTCTACATAGGAGCAAGAAACAAATATTTCTGGTGATTTTGCCTCTTTTTGTTGTTGTTTTCTGTCTCTTTGTAGTCATTTTTATGACTTTAAGGTTGTTTCGTCCCTTTATGTAGTTAATTTGTCTCTTTTCAGTTCCTTTCCATTTCTTTGTAGTCTTTTGAGTCTGTTCCTGGTCGGTAAGTGTCTCTTTGAGCAGCATATTGCAGGTGAAGGTCAAGGAGGGGCCCTTACACTTTGGGCACTTGGCATTTTGTGTGCACATGCATCGTTTATCTACATGAACATGCAGACTGATTATAAAAAGTAAACATGATGTGAGAAAAAGCAGACACCACTTTGTCCCTGATAATGATGATACTGAAGTGTTGAAGTCCTCGCCGCTCCCTCCCACAGACCCCAAACAATGAGTGCTGCCAGATGACAATACCCCACAGGTGTGCCTTAACAGATCATGTTACCAGTTTGTTCATTCAGTGGCAGCTGATGATAACTGTTCATTTATTTGGTTGTTGTTGTTGTTGTTGTTGGCGATCTGCTTTGTTTGCCATAGCATTTAATTCAGTCAGATTACAGGCTAAGATAAATATGTTGTACATTGTTTAGATTATAGCAATGCTTCAGAGATGTTAAAGGAGGCACGAGCTGTTTTAACAATTTACTGTGTAATAATACCATTAATAATTTGTTTATCCATGTTGTACTTATTTATATTGCAATATTCACTGATTGATGCTTGACTCTAGACCAACTCAAAGATATAAGGTCTATGCACTAGATCTCCACTGTCCCTACAACTGCGCCAGGTTAAGGTTATGATACTGTTAATAGTGGCTCTTTTCCATACACATGTGCTGGCTTGGCTTGACTCAGTTTGACTCGGTGTGTCAGCTCAGCCATCAGGGATTTGCCTCTACGTGCTACAGGGCTACTCACTTGAAGGTGCATCCTTCTTAGAGCTGTTTACTATTGTCAAAGCAGCTACTTATCATCTTTTGAGGCTGTTGTTATGATTTTGCTCAGCATCTGCCACTTACTACTTGAAAACAGAGAAGGAATGACAAAATGACTGTTTAAACATGTCTGAATTATCTGTGAATGATGACGAAGCCTGTCTGATGTAAACTCAGAGCATTAAAACTGGTAATGTAAATGTAATTCAAGGCAGCGTGGTGTGACTCAGTGCATCTAGAAGTACAATTATATCTGTTAGTATGTGTTTGTGTTTCCTAACTGTTATAATTTCTCATTAAAAATAAACTGTATTCGGCTGATTGTGTCTCTGTCACATACAATACATCCATGGGCGTATTTATACATATATTAAAAACAATCACACTTCCTATATAGCAGGTTATATTTTAGTGTCAGTATGTGTGGGAAGCAACTAAATGCAGAATAAGGCTTTAACATAATGATGGCGCAGTGAGTTCTCTATATTTGTGAAGATGAATAGGTCCAAACCTCCTGTTGTGTGACCTCTTACACTTATCCAGAAGGCCCTCAAAAGCTCTTTGCTGTTGGCTCTGGTCGCACATAAAGTCGCACTCGCACTCTGGCGAGAGATGAAATGATTAAGATTTAAAAAGGGTTTTGTCCTTTAAGTTTCACTCGTAGCACAGGGATCCAGTCTAATCTGATTCTATTAATTGAAGTGTTACCTACCCGTCAAAATATTGTGCCATATTAATTTACTGAAGAGCACTTGTATTGGGTTGCACGATATTGAACAAGCCCTGTTATTATGTCTACATCTTATACATACATGGTTACACAGAAAACGTTTAGGCTTACTGAATCTAGTCCACCTCTCTGGTGTATTCCCAAACATTATATTTTCTATGCTACCACGACTGGCTTGTTGTGAGATCATGGTTAATGAACCAACAGCTCTCCTCATCCACATCTGACACATGTGATATCTTACACATGCATCATTTCCTCTTGCTTCCCTGTGTGTATAGGCATGCTTAGCAGGAATGGCGCCCCATGCCACCAAAAATGGACTCTAGCAGCATGTAGAAAGTGCTCAGAGAGGATGTAAACTTTCTCTCTCTGATGCACAGCACCAACATGAAGCCATTCTGTGAGTGGTGCCCTCAACTTTATCAAAACAAAATGTTTTAAAATTGTTCGAAAAGTACAGGATTGAGCTGTTCATTTTTTAAAATCAAATTATGCTGGTAAAGTAAGATAGAATATAAATCCATTATGGTGCCTGACAGTGAACAGATGCGGGATAGGAAAAAACAAAGTCAAAGAACACAGACATCCATTTCACCCATCAATTCGCCATCCATTACTTCTGTCAGCTCTCACTGGCCATTAGCCACAAACTTCCCCTTTCTTGATGTCCAGCAATCTAGACAATTTAATTCACCAGAGCATCAAGGTCGAAAGCACAATGTAAGAAATCTACCGTGATGGTGGATTTTCCGGCATATTTCCCATACTTCAGCAACAAAGGCTTCACCATCTTCTTTTGGGCCACGATCTGCAAAGAGCAAGATAAACACATTGTTGCCCTTGAGCCTTCCTCAGCAGTAAAGCACAGAGCAGAGGGATCTGAGTCATCAATACCAGCATCGGGTATATTTACTACTGACATCACAAAGGGAGATGCTTCTGCATGTTTAAGGTGTTTCATTACAGACAAATCACAGTGTTAGGGCACAATACCAGCTAATACAAGTCAATAAAATGGCAAAGTAAGACAGTAGCATTTGCCTACCTGGCCAAGAGTGCACTCCACCCCACCCAGGAAGTCATCATCGCGGGTCCCGATGCTGTGAGTTCCATGGATGTCGTACACTTCAAATCGCAGCTTCTGAACCTCCTCAAAGTAGTAGTCCCATGTGAAAACCTTGGCAAAGACCGGGTGCAAGTTGCTCTTGATCACTTCCGTCCTGTCCAGCTGAGAGAGAACACATGTTTCAATATATTTAAACATTGTAATATTGCTTATTTTAACTTACTATGAACGTGATTAAAGGGATACTCCAACCCCAAATGATCATTTGCATATCAGTTACCCCCCAATGTTATATTTTGAATTCACGAGGAAAACTTATTATCTTGTTTGCCTTGGGTGAATTAAGAAAAAATTATAGATGAATTGAAGTCATAGGGGTCCGTGTTTAATTACAACAGCAAAACCATATCAAAACATCCATTTGCAAACACTCACACAACTCAGATCCAGGTCTCATTTATCTAGTCGTATGCTCAACACTCCCCAAACACATGCATTCTTACTAAAATCTTACTATTCAAAACACTTCCGCATAACCAGTCACATGCACATCTCAGTAGCGCACCTTGGCAAGTGTGTGCATTTGATTTCTGCTCATGCATTCCTTTGAAATCTGACCTGCCAGATTATTCTTTGACCAGGAAGTGACAAGCATGAGTGAGCAGGCTGTTCTCATGCACTGTTGGTAAGTTTTCCCATGAAAAGTAACGCCCCAAAATTCGTACATATCCCACATAATCATGAGCCATTAATTCATGCGTAACCCATGTATTTTGGAAGGCTGCGATCAAGTGACCAATGGGCTGATGAGACTAAAGAAGGAGACAGTCCCAGCAGTACCCATAAGGAGGCAGGTTGGGGCAGTGGATGTGTCACAAAATACAGGACTTTTCCCAGGAGACCAATGTTCAAAACTATGTGAACTTGGAGTGAACTTTGAATCATTTTAAGGTACGTTGTCACCATGTTTCTTTTCCTCAACCTAATCTTTGTAACTTCAGATTGTTACTGAACTTTACATTAATTGCGTAACATCATTTGTGGGGTGCTAGTTCATAGGATATCATTCAAACTGTTGTATGAGGACTCCTGACCAGTGAACAAAATGGGAGGTGGGATTTCAGTGGAATTCACAGTGTTTTGAATACTAAGATTTTAGGGAAAATGCATGTGTGTGGGAGGTGCTGAGCATACAACTGGATAAATGAGACTTGGAATATACTGCATGAGTTGTGTGAGAGTTTGTAAATTGACGTTTTAATAAGTGTGGCGGTTGTTAAGCCTCCTATGACTTTAATTCATCAAGAGTTATCTCAATATTTGGATTCTGAATTCAACATGGAGCCATGCAAGAAAAACAGCATCTTCATGAATTCAGCATAACGCAGGGTGAGTAATTGATATACAAATGGTCATTCTGTGGGTGAAGCATTCCTTTAAAAGCAATAATATACTTTGTGGAGCTACAGCACTTATACAGATTATAATCTATATAATTTCACAGCAAGATCTCACATAAACAGGACTGGAAAACATGACTTCTTCTATCGTCATACTTATTTTGAGGAACACCAGTGTCTACAGAAGGGCAAGTGATATTACATTCCGTCAAGAGGATGATGTGAGAGAAGATTGGAGGGCTCTGACATTTAATCTCAGCGTACAGAAAATGTCCATGCTTGTCTTTCAGTGCCTGACAAGGAAAAGCTGAGCTCTCTGAGGCCCCATCTGCTCATGATGTAGGATTTAGCTCTCACACAGCTCCACAAACGTTTTTATGCTGCCCAATTTGTCACAAGGACAAATCATCTTTGAACATGATATTTACATCTACAGAGGTTATTTTCTGTCATTAAATGATGACATGCATGCAGAAAACCTCACAATTTTCATGATATGCTGCAGTTATGTTTATATTTAATGCATGATTTGGGGATTGAAAGCCAAATCTATGAAATTATACACCACAAAGGAGAACAGACCGGTGTCCAAAGTCATTACTTCATCGTCCATGGAGCAAGTCCAGACTTGTGTCATGATGACCTCAGACACTGGTGAAATTGCTCTCTTGTTTCTCATCTTGTGGCTTTGGTAGCGATAGCCTTTTTCAGATAAGCATAATGTTTGAACCTCTCTCTAAAGCTGTTTGTATTCTTTCCCCACTCTTCCCATCACTTTCCATATGTTAAAACAAGTTCAACACTGTGAATACCTTCCAGGAGAGACTGTCTGGAAATGCGCACCATTATCTCAATTTTCAGATCATTATTTGATCTCCCCCTCTTTATGACAGCAGGCTTTCCACCTCGCTTACGGGTATGTTGTGATGTTGATGGACATCATGTAAAAGATATTCCCTGTTTGGGGTTTTGATGATGTTGGAAAGCGTTGTCTAACACGCTGGTCTAAAATCTCTCATAAGTGTTCAGTTGGCTTGAGAGCCAGACACTGTAAAGGCTTTAAAACCATGATTTATGTTTTTATAATATATTTTCATACTCATCGAACCATTCGACCCCTTTCAGTGAGAGCATTACCATCCTGACAGAGACCAGTCCCATCAGGATGGAAATATTTCATCATAAAAAATGATGACTTACTTCATGAATAACTGTATTGATCTGCAGTGACTCCTCCGTCTAATGGAGCAAGTGGACCATGCAAATAAAACTCAGCTTCTCTTAAGAAGCAGCTTCTCTATCTTCTATTTTCATTTATTTTGTTTTTTTCCTTATTTGTAACCCGTCTGCGTTATAAAACCTAAAATGACACAATCCTTGTTTATTTCATTATGTATAGTTGTTACTAAGGATGCACAATATTCAACACATTCTCACTCCCACCCATACATCCATTTTCATCCTTTTTATCCAGGGCTGACTCGTGGGGGCAGCAGGCCAAGCAAAGCACCCCAGACGTCCCTCTCCCCAGCAATGCTTTCCAGCTCCTCCTGGGGGACCCCAAGGTGTTCCCAGGCCAGATGAGATATGTAATCCCTCCAGCGCGTCGTGGGTCTACCCCAGGGCCTTCTACCAGTGGGACCTCCAACGGGAGGCACCTAAGAGGCATCCTGATCACCTCAACTGACCCCTTACGATGCAAAGGGCGGCGCTACTCCGAGTTCCCTCCAGATGTCAGAGCTCCTTACCCTATCTCCAAAGCTGAGCCCAACTACCCCACGGAGGAAACTCATTTCGTCCGTTTGTAATTTTTTCGATCACTACCCAGAGCTCATAACCATAGGTGAGGGTTGGGACGTAGATGGGCCAGTAGATTGAAAGCTTCACCATCTGGCTCTTCACCACGAAGATTCCCAACTTATCAAATACCAACATTTGGTCTGTGGCCCTTAACATTAAATTATGACACCCTAGGTAACCCTCCCTCAGGGACAGCATGCAACATGCATTGTGTCCTTTCACAACAAACCTGTGACCTGTGAAAATGTCCGATTTTGTAAGTAATGTACAGTTTCCACTTGTTAAATGCATACAGTCTCTTTTCAAAATAAACTTAGAACAAAGGTCAAAAACTATGCATTTAGGTTTATTTCCTCAGGTTAAGATGACAAATGAACAACTAGGACTAGAAAAAAATCATCATGGTTTGGACTAAAATAACTAAGTTTCTTACTAATGTAATGTAACATCATGTGACACACATCACATGCATCAATAGCATGCTACACATACTAGCAAAACTGACCAAGCGTGGGTATTTGACAACTTGGGAGTGAGACTGGGTTGCAATATTAGATTTATGCTAAATAAATTTATCTGATATGCTGATATTTTCCAACTAATTTTGGCCAGTTGGCGATGTCGATTTCGATAAGTGTTCATTCATTCATTCATTTTCTGTAACCGCTTATCCTGTGCTGGAGCCTATCCCAGCTGACATTGGATGAGAGGCAGGGTACACCCTGGACAGGTCACCAGACTATCGCAGGGCTGACACATAGAGACAGACAACCATTCATGCGCACATTCACACCTACGGACAATTTAGAGTCACCAATTAACCTGCATGTCTTTGGACTGTGGGAGGAAGCTGGAGAAAACCCACGCTGATATGTGGAGAGCATGCAAACTCCGCACAGAAAGGCTCCCCAACTGTAGGGTTTAAACCCCCACCCAAACCAAAAACCCTCTTGCTGTGAGGCAACAATGCTGACCACTGCACCACCATGACGCCGAATGCTCATGTGTTTTTCCCTTAATTGTAGAGAACATCAAGTCTCTCCTTTGGTAGAATTAACATATCAAATGCGCCTGCTCCTACTGTGGTGATCCACTGGCAGATGCAGACACAAAATACAATGCTTTTCAAAATGTTCACATTCACTGGGCAAAAGAACTACTTTGACAAATAAACTGATTCTATCTTAACAGGTTTGGATGATGCTCCCCCTGAGATAATTGCAACAACAGGCACAACCAGTGCAGAAATGCTCATTTCAGGTTGATTCTGATAATTAATTTCAAAGCCTTTATCTTCTGATACCAATGACGTGTCGATACTATCGTGCACCCCTTGTTTTCTCACTGTTGCCAGCTTACCGCTGAGGAATGACGTCTGCCTGAAACATCTCTGCACGAATAAACAATCTAATTGGACTGCTGTCCTGCTGTTGACATTTGATTTTTGTTTTCCAGCATTCAGCACCCTTCTGCACAGAACTTATTACCAATTTGCAATTCAATTTGTTGGTTAGTAAATGTTAAAATGTATCACATTAAAATCTAGGGTTTTGTTTTGTCACATCTTCATTTGCCTGAACTGAGAAATAAACAGCGCTGGGTTGGAGATAAACACACTTTGGTCTCTGTCACGGTTTAAGATGAATAACACGACAAGTTCTTTGGTTAACATCCGCCTCATTATGAAAACAATGATAATGTAAGACAATAATAAATGCGATGGATGGCTAGTAGCAGGGATTGCTCTACTGTTTCCTTTTCACTCTGGCAAACATCACAAAGAAAGAAAAGAACTTCCAGCTAGGACTTGGCTTCTTCAGTCTCATTCATCCCCATTTCTCTTTATTGTCTGCTCTTGTTCGCTTCTTCCTCCTAGCTTTGTGCCATCTGGACGGACAGATTTGGGATGAGTCTGATGAGTCTGTTTGTTGATGAAAGCTTATCAGTGCAACGGAGGATAGGTTGTGCCGAAAGTCTGTGACGCCTGTTTGTTGTTGGTGTGGGGCCAGAATTATAGAGAGATCTCTGACATGGAAAATTAAGGCTTTCTCTAATCAGTTCTGCCAGGTAGGCAGAGCATTATCGCTGCAGCTCGATCACAACAAGCCCCAGTAGCTTAGGTGAGATATCAGCAGTAAGATCAGGTTTTGAATTAACTCACTATCATGAAAATACGTAGAGTCCGGTTTACACAAAAAGATGAGGCATCTGCTGTGGGAGAAAAACGTCAAGTCATCTCCACCCTGCCTCTGTCCTTGGAAGCAAACAGGTGGTAAAATAATGTAATAATGAAATAAACGCAGCTCGACAAATAGCAGCTGCGAGTCAGTGGGGCCATACAGTGTGAGCTCAGAAAAGAGAAAGAGGGTGGCGGAGTTATGAGTGGGCACAGCGTCTTACTCAGTTGTTGACGTAAGTAAACAATTTGCACAGGCAACGGTGCCTCCCTGTGCTGAGGGATCTGACAGCGGAGGATTAGACAACTTGTGTACTCTGTCATGTCAATAGATAGATAGATAGATAGATATTGAGATTGATTTATTCACCCTCCTCCTGCAGCTCTCCCTTCTCCATCCTGTGCCCCTCCCACCAGATAACCACAGTATATCCATATGCACACCCTTCAAACAGTAAGCCATGTGTTCCCCATACATGGATTTATTTAATTTTATTTCATTGTAAACTTGCACACAGCTCATTAACTCAGCTTCTCCTTGCCCTCTTTTCTCTCTATCTGTTTATTAGACCACAAATGAGACGTAGAATTTGCTAGCAATTCCACAGTTCCCTCGCCTCGGTTCTCCCGAGGATTCTCCACCATTGAATGAGGTGTTCATCGAAGGGGACGTGCACGCGCATCTGCATTTGTAGGACAGCCAATAGGAACGCCTTCTCTCTGAATTTACCAGTGATTGGCCAAAATCTTACAGGCTAAAAAAAGGAGCCATGGGGAGGTGCAAACAACTTTTCTCTCAGACCACTTGGATTGCATTTAAGCTTAAAGTTCATTATGGGATTTTTGCACAACTTCCTACCCCATCTTTGAGTATTATTCATATTTTATAAGATGGCTGTGTGTTTTGTGTGTAATATGGGTATCTTCCTAGTAACTAGTAACTACAGTACATCTGCCAGAATAAATGTTGGCATTGTATGTTTCTGCAAACCATGGATATCTTAAATTTCTACATTTCATATGTAGCCCCTGAGTTAAAAATTCATGCTCCTTTCCATTTCAATTTTAAATTTTATGTTTTGAAAGCATGGTCAGGTTTAGGCACCAAAAAACCACCCGGTCAGGATGAGAAAAACCTCATGTTTGGGCCAAAAATATAAATGTTGGTTTTAAACATCTGTCTGCTGGTATCTGCGAGTGCCAACGTTTTATTCTGAACATTTTATTCTGGCAACTGGCAAAAAAAAAAAAGAAGTATAACAGAAATGGAATGGAAATGGAAAGACTCAAGTAAAGTACAAATACCTAAAATTGTACTTCAGTACGGTGCAGTTGTAATACTTGGCTGCATGTGTCTATTCTTTCAAATCATACAAAACTGGCTCACTTAGTAAAGCTAAAAATAGGACCATCGCACATGCTTCATTGAACCCAGGTCAATCATCTCATGTAATGACCTCCTATCAAATTACAACCAAGAAAAATCCATAACTGCGTGCTCGACACTGTCAGCCAAGTGTTTTTATCATGATAGTGTCTCGAGGTTCCACATTCATACATCCCAAACATCAAACAACCAAAGACTCCCATGTGGCGGGAATCTGGCGGAGTTACACTTAATTATTATCTCCCATTTCCCTGAAAAGATAGCTTTTTGTTGGATGAAGAGTAGCGTGGGGAGAGAAAGAAAAAAAAATCTATATAATTAGATATCCTCTGCTACGTTTTAACACATCCTCTTCTTAATGGAGACATGTGCTTTGACTTTCCCCTCATGAACCAAATGACTTAATTAACAGGGAAATGAGAGACCTGCTGCCTACGCTCCAAATCAGCTTGGGACCAATCCAAGAAAGTAAACATTTTCACCTGGAACACACCTCATCGCATTACCAACCCACTGTTTGCCCACATATGTAGACCAGTGGAATATATATTTATATATATATATATATATATATATATATATATATATATACAGGGCAGGCAGCACAATGTGTTGAAAATTAGTGAACTATGGAGACAGCCAGTGCTCACTCTCTCCCTGCATACGCACTCTCCATTTGACATTTTTAATTCGGAGTCAGACAGCTGTTGTGTAAGCCATGATCTTTTCCGAAAGAGTGAAAAACAGCTGCAAGTTCAGCAAACCATTAACAGATTTATCTCCCTGGTTGATGATTTATGACAACACAGGTTTAGGGATAACTGGAGTGGGACCGAAAATTCATCCCGAAGTAAAACATTTCACACATCACCACTGCTTCGTGTTAAACTCTGAGCTTATCTGTGGCACTGGACAACAAAGGGAAGGCTGGCCAACTGTGCTCTCCAGTCTGTGTAACCATTAGGAAAACATGTTGCTCAGATCACCTCCAGGCACTGTAATGTGAATAATTTGAACTCTTATGTATGTGTTATTCAGGACACGACTCTTTACACATTAAATAATGTGGTTAATGAATCAGGGAGATTAAAAATAGATGGTGAATTAATTTTTAAAGGCTATATACTGCTGCCTATAGAACTGGTGGTTGAGGCTCACACTTTTTCCCAAAAGGTCCAAACTGTGCACAGATTAAAGAAGAAACAAAAACAGGGGAAAGGGGGCTCACCTCTGTCCACTGTCCGTTGTTCTGCACCATGAGTATGACACATGGGTCTGACTTGTTCAGCGTGTCTCGGTCCAGCAGGGCTTTGCAAGACACGCGCAGCTCTACTTTGGAGACGCAGGTAGCCGGACCGCTGAGGCTGGTCGCAGGGGAGGTGGCCTCCTGAACATCATTCATCCTGGCTCAGGGCGAGTGAAGCAGTGCGATGTGGTAGCTCCGAGGGATGGGAAAATGAAGTGGTGGGTTTCGTGGGATCTCAGTAAAGACGTGGCACGCTCACAGGAGACAGGCTCTTTTGACTTGGTGCAGATTTCATGAAAAGAACAGAGATTCCCGTTGAGTCCCGGGGGACCAGAGCAAAACTCAATCTGTTATTACTGCCTGTCAGAGCTATCCCCTTGCGAGGAGTATCATCTCACCTCGGTAATGACGGGAGACAGGACATGAAGGTGGCAGGGCTGTGCTTTGAGGAGCCAAGATCAGATCCCTGTAAAGATTCAGTTAAGTCAGTCAAACCTGCTGCTTTTAAAAGCTCTTAATTCACAAAAGAAGGAGGCTATCTGCACAAATACACACAAAAACCTGATGGTATCATTTTCTGCATGCATCTGCTTTCATTGTTTCCAATTCCAACAATTTAAATGGCACAAAATTGGTATTTTCTCCCCTATTCAGTGGGTAAACAAGAGAAAGTGGCAGATATAATCAGGAATCCGGCAGGCACATGGCTGAGTGGCTTTATTGCACCAGGAGATAACATAAAACTGAGAGTAGGACTTTCATTTGTTGGAGCTCCAGTGTGGAAAGCATCCGCCCTGCTGAAGTGTCCTTGAGCAAAAGCGTGTCTGACCCTGCTGAACTGTTTGAGAGAGAGGAAGAAAAGTATGAGGGCGGGGGCTGGATTTGTTTCTACCAGCATCCTTCACTCTAAGTGTCACATTGTTAGGAGACAGAGTGTAGGTTTGGCTCTCAGCACCAGGGACAGCGCCCGTGTCTTTTTTTTTTTTTTTTTTTTTAATAGCCAGCTGTGAGTCTGGAAACCAGATGTTACCCAAAAGCATCAATCTCAAACTTAACTCACTAAAACTCGGAATATAATCAGATTCAAAGGCTATGATATAAAACCCATGCAAAAGTTAGGCTATAAAAAGCAACACGTCCGCCGCCGATTCAATTCAACAACTTAATCTAATAAAGGCGATACAGGAAACGCTCCTGGATGCTTTCTTAATAATCCATCACAATAAATCAACTCCGCTGCACATCTGAAATCCTCCAAAACCTGCGATCAGGGGCGCAAAACGACGATCTAGCTTCCCTGATCATAATAATAAGCAAAGCGTCGCACTGAGCATGAAGACTTTGATAACATCGTTTGTCTTTGTCTTACTTCCAACAAGAAAACATGCAGCTGATCAATAACAACAAGCCACCGCACTTACAGCCCCTCATTCAAACCTATAAACTCTGCAAGTTAAAAAAAAAAAAAGAAGGAGAAACTCACTTCCTACCTTTCGTTGTTCTTTACTTAAACACACTTGTTTTAATCCTCTCCCATAACACACTGCCTGATTTTTTTTTCTTCCTCCGCCGAAACTCATTGGTTAGACTGGTGAGGAGGGAGTAGGCTCGGCTTGTAGAGAGATGGGGGAGTGGAGAGGAGCCCAGCTGCTGATGTAAGGATGGGGCTTTCACTGGGACTCGATTATTGGGAGTTCAATTTTAAAAACCGAGCAACAGGACGCGAGACCATGGAGATGCTTCACAGTGGCGTTTATTCATCATGATGAGTATCTGGCAGCTCCCACAAAGGATGGCAGCCTGACATGAACACGGTAAATATGTGCATCCAGGCTGAAAGAATGAAGAACTTGGCATCTATGAAAAAATCAGTGAAACACATGCAATGTCTTAAACACTTCCCTTGAGTTTAAATTAATCTCTGTGCAGCAATAATCCTCTGCAGCCTCCATAGAGAGGTTTTAATATGCTGATATATCAATCAGATTTTCCTCCAGCTTCAGTCTGCTGTAATTAATGTGGCACACTGAGCATGCCTATATGTTAGCATTAGGCATTAAATCATGCTTACATATTGCACATAATTCTGCAAACAGTAAGCAAGCATTTGACTCTATAGTATTCTGGCAACAGTGGCGCCCCCAAGGGAGGGAGAGGGGGGGCCATGGCACATATTAAATATAATGAGATTACGGGTGTTGCTTCATTTGGGCTTGAAAATCAGATAAAACAAGACAACAAGCTAAACATGTCATAAACATCTACACAGCTATATCATAGCTATAATAGTAAATGATTAAATACATAGAAACATTAAAAGAAAACAATGGTCAGAAATAGGTTGAGGCTGACATCACTGTGTTTAAGAGGCTGTGGTGGACTAATTTTTTAAGCTTACGTAAAAAGGAGCACCCACTAGCTCACCTGGCAGAGCAGACGCCCCATGTACAAAGGCCATGCCCTTACTCCAGCAGCCACAGGCTTGATTCCAAACCTGGCTCTTTGCTACATGTCATCCCCTAACTTTTTCTTTCTTTCTTGCTGGAGTTTTCCTATGTAACCAAAAAAACGTGAAGATAGTGGTATCCTCTGAAACGACACACCCTAAAACAGTGGTTCCCAACTGATCCAGCCTCGGGGTCCAGATTTCTCCTTACTCATTAGTTCGAGGTCCCACAGTTTAATACATTTAGTGTCATACTTGCATTTGGCCATGCATTTGGTCAAGTAGCCATCTGGTAGTCACTCACTTCACAGCAGAAAACTTCAAAATTAATAAAACTGTGCTGGAAACTTACTGTACTTTAAATCAATGTGCTTTGTTACAAACTTGACATGTTCGGGAGTCACTTGCGGTCCATTCAGAATGGGTCTGAGACCCACTTTTGGATCGTGACCCACCAGTTGGGAACCACTGACCTAAAGCATCTGTTGATACCAACCATGTTGGCATGGCTTGTCAGGAAGGGGGCTGGATAACGCTTCAAATTTTTGGCAAGGGATTCCTTGAACTCTCACCTCATGACATTTGAATGAAAATGGTTTCTATGGGTCTCACCTAAGCTTGAGAAGGCGTGTTCCCAGTAGATGATTTTTAATTTGAAGAACAATGAATTGCCTGACATGTATAGAAACATAATATATTAAAACAGGATTATTGTGGAAATCAAAGTGGTAACTGTACCAGAATTAGTCTGTGCACATCAGGTAGTTAGTTAGTTAACAGTTAGTTATATCAGTATGTGATTCCTTAACTCACCCCAAGATTTTCAGTGGCCCCATTTGGCCACCCCTATGAAAAATATCTAGGTGCACCACTGGCTGTCATATCAGTGAATACTATCTGCTCAAATCAAGAACAATTCCTTGTCATTTAATGGACAATCCTTCAAAAACAAGCTCACAGTCTATAATGAGATGAACAGGCTCCGTCATCATTTGAACGTAACAGGTGAAATCAGATGTTTAGATGATTATCCTCTCACTTAGACTCACAAGTCAGTCTTTAGACGCTTTGCTTAACTAAATCAGAAGGCGGAGATCTCTGATTGTCTGGTGGCGAGACTATCCTCTCACTAGGCTCTATTGTTTGTCAATTTGCACCCAGAAAAGAAGGCAATCCATGTCTAAATCAGCCGTCCTCCAGACAGGTGTTGTCACACCTCAATAATAGAAATGCCAGGGACGCTTGCGAGACATTTCACAGCAAAACAACAGCAACTTAAAGGACAAATCGTCAACCAAATCTCCACGTGGGAGCTCCAGACAGCTGAGGACCTGTGACTCTCTGCTCTCTCCACTTTATTAAACACACACATGCACACACACACATACACCCACATTTGTACTGTACATGCACATACACACACTGGAGTCTGATGTCAATCACATTAAAATGATCAGAGCTGATTCATAGTGTAGATTTTTTTTATTTATTTTTTTGACAGCGATGTATGTTACGTAATGTATTGTTTCTACACGTTTATGCTGGAACCTTTTCACAGTCCACCCACAAATGTATTATTTTCATGAATGTATTTCCAGACATTGCATAACGTTTATAGATTTTTTAGATTGAACTGACAAACAGCAGCCCTCGAGTTTCTGTGCACACAGAGGCGAAGGCCACGAAAGACAAAGCAGCTAAAGAAATGGACAAAATTACTGGTGGGAATTTGGGTTCATCAAAATATAATGCGGAACATAAAATAAAAGCTTTTGTTTGAGTGTTTAAAAGCACCTTGTGAGGTTACAGTGCACTTTAGGATAATAGAAATGTGTAGGCTTCAGCTGTCGTGGCGTTTAATTCCTCAAGGATTTGAAATTTCATGATTCTGAAGCGTCCTTCAGACAGACAGAACATTTTCTTTTCATTAGCGCTTTGCAGAACGCCTGGATCTGCACACTCTGTGTTTAACATGGAAACTGGCTGCTTTCTGACACGGCCATCACCTAAAGTCATGTTTACTCCTGCACTTTTTTTCAACCCCACTGCCTCTTCTTCCATGGGTATTCAGAGTCAGAAGGAAGCGTCTGCTTTGGGGCACACACCTGAGCCCTGTTACGCCACAGCTCTAAACAACGGCCATCTGCTGCTGCTGCTGCTGCTGCTGCTGTGTCAGTTCAGCACCTCACAGGACGTTCCCTGCGTTTACACATGGATTATCTACTCAGATTCCCCCGCTGCTTCTCCCCAGTCACTGACCACATTACGTGTACAATAACCCAAATAGGAAGATCCCCTAACATGGCCTGATGCGCTCACATTTTCTGTCAAACTAGCTCCGGTGTGTTGGTGTAACATCATCCACGGTTTTCCACCAGCAGCTCCCTCGAGTAGAGGTATTTTTGTACATAGGTAGGCTTTTTTGGACATTTTCAAAGGTGCTATTGATTCTAAAGTCTCTGTTATTGATGATAGTAGCTGCAGGATCCCCGTTAATGGTAATCAATCACAGAGCTTGTGTTTCATCAGGCTCCACTTCAAGTAATAGCACATTGAAGAGAAATGTTATCTCAGCGAGTCTCCTCTGTCATCATTATATTTGCCTTACTGACCTAGAAATACTGTGGTCACAAAGATCTTAGCTATCTTTTCACAGAGTAAACAAGATACACACAATATATCATAGGAGGGGAGCTGATACTGCAGGACACATGCGACCTCATTGATTTCAGTCGGATACTGGAATATAATTAGTAGTCAATGTTGCAGATATCTAAGACACAATAAGCAGAGAGTGTTTGGTGTTGGATGAAATACTTAAATGATCAATTAGCAAGCTTGCTGCCCATTATTTTCTATGAGTAAATGAGTAACTGACTAAATGCTTCAGCTCTGGGTCAGTCTTTTATCACATACACTGACTTAACATAATCCTCCTCTCATCCTGTTACTGCTTATCAAAGCTGAGGAATCACAACAGTCACAACATCTTATGTCACAAGGTATAATGACTTGCGAATCGTCTGGTATCGCTGTTATGTGTAGTTTATCATAGGACAAATAACATCTCATCACTGTCGAATAATGAAAGGTGGGAGCTGCCATTAATTTAATAAATTGCAGGTGTGGATCTTCCCATGGGCTTTCACATAGGGCGCCACACAGGAGGGATTTTTTTTTATTTGTAAAACTATCCAAAGGTAAAAATGATCCAAAAAAATCTAATGCTAACAGTCGGTCTGTAGCAATGGTACCACCTCTAGTCCTCAAGCCAAAGAACCCTTAGCTTAAAGAAAGATGGAGAAGGGACCCCCTCAACATATACTGTTTAAAACCTGGGTTGCACTTGTGATAATTCTCAGAATATTTTTTGGTCTTCTTTTATTTGTGCTTGCCTGTACCTGCTCACAGCAGCAGTTGTAGCATGACTAGGTGCATTAGCCTCACCCTCTGCACTTACAGCGGTTGCTTCTCAGGTGGATGGTGTGTCAGAGTCTCTTGCTCAAATAGAAACAGCCCATTTTGGCTTAAAAGAATGTCTAATTGGCCAGTATGATTCAATTGTATGTAAATGTTATCTTACTAGTTCATCCCGCTGTTATGTTTAAATGCTGCACAGTGATTTAGAGCAATAAAATATAGTAAATGATACAGATTTACATTAAAAGAGTAAAGGGAAAAAAGGTTTAAATAGTAGAATCAATTACTAAATTATTTACAATTTTAAAAATAGAAATCACCATTAAAAATAGCAATAGTGCAGACAGGAGATGCAAAGATAAAAACACTTACTTAACCTTGTATAATCATGTGAGCTAGCTTGCAAAAGGATTCATGGGTAACAGCCTATTATCAGTGTTGTGTACTATAATTCAAATGTTTTTTTATGAATATGCTGACTTACCTTCGCTAATCATATGTTAGATTCACATTAATGTGTATTTTTAGATTTATTTTAACTTCTTAAAACAAAAAATGCCCTTAAACTTAGTAACTGAGGACCCTGTAGGGGTCGTGGACCCCCTGATGGGTGTGGTGGAGTGTATGTGGATAGAATTACAATAAGAGACAATGAAAAGCAATTGAATTCCATTTGCTTTTGTTCCTGTTCTCGTACAGTAAATATATATACTGTTTTTTTGTGTGTATGGGGGGGCTGCCCAGGGTGCTGAATGTGCTAGGTACGGCACTGCATTTAGGAACGGTGGTAATAGTAAGTGGTTTTTAAAATCCATGGTGTCCTGTTACATATG